TGGCAGTTCCATGTTTAAGTTTGCTTGTCTGTTTTGTGATAGTTGACCTTGTCGTTCCAGAACAGAGTCTTATCACCGTCACCAAAGAAGAAGTTTCTCGTCCGGATGTTTTGGTAGGGGTATTCGACCCGTTCTTCCAGAGGAGGCATGTGTTCCCAATGCTCCCAATGTTCGTTCCACAAGTTGTAGGCGTTGATGGCTGAGAGGACAAGGCAAGGAATAACAACACTATACACAAGGTCAGACTTGTCTCGTGCGACTACAGTACGTCCCCGGGATCTCGTACTAGATGGATAGTTTGCGCCAGAGGTCTGCAATACGTCAGTCTTCTTAGCCCTCATTTCACAGCCGACCACGTCTTACCACTAGTAGCAGCAGCGTGAGCCTTTACAGCAGCCCTTTCTCGGTTGAAAGCATTATCGGCAGCTCCGGCTAGTTTGCTTCCTCCTTGACCTGGGGGGCTCGGGACACCACTGGCAGTGTTTGCATATCTTCGCTGTAGCGTCGATCGAATGGCGGGCCGGAAGGCTGGTGAACGGAGGTTCTGCTGCGCCAGGCGCAGGCCCACACGCTGGAAAGACATCTTCGTGGCCGCAAGAGAGTGGAGAGCTGAAATGGTGACTTTGTCCACGATGAGGACGAGCATCACATGAGGTTGAAGTGAAGTTCGCAGGAGCTCGACGGCAGCTCGGCTGGAACTGGGAAGGTTATCCGAGGGTCGTGCGATGACCACGAGTACGCCGTATTTACACCGTACCACCAGGTGCAGGTGCGCTGTGTATGGCGTAACCGCTGCAATGGTTCAACGAACCCTGTTACCAGTAATATAATGCGCGTTGTGAGCGGCAGCACTTCCCTTTGCACCTGCAACGGGTCTTATCAACTTGTTTCGAGTATGGCTACTGTGTACATCACCATCTTCTTGGCCATGTAAAGCAGCGTGGGACCCCAAAGGGTGGTTTGATCGCCAAGTGTTTTTCGTGACCGCGTATCAACAAATCCGCTTTACCGCATTGGAACTGCGAATTGTACCTCATGAGATCCGAAGCTTCGACCTCACTCTTCTTTTCAATTGACCTCCATTTGAACCTCTCCACTCCTTACCACTCGCTCTGCAGCTCCAGTCCAGCTGGCTCTGGTCGGCCTGTAGTCAATTACGCACTACTGACCAACCATTGCGAACATGTCGGCAACAATGCTGCGCACCAGCGCCCTCCGATCGATCCCGCGCTCCTTTGCTGCCTCCGTTCAAGCTACCACCCCGCGGTCGAGTGTCCTCAACAGTGCCCTCAGAGCTTCCCTGAAGACCTCTGCTCGTCCAGCTCGGGCTTCCCGTATCCTTGCCATCACAGCTTTCCAGCCCCTGCCAAAAGCCCTCGTCCGGCACGCGCACAATGCCCATATGTACGACATCGACAAAGCAGAGAAAGCGCTCCATGAAAGGGTCTTACAGCCGATCCCAGAACAAGTATCCACCGGATCGTCAACTCGCCACGTTTCTGGTGAGGTTCAGAGCAAGGCCGCTGATGACGAAGATGTGGATATGATGGCTGGTATTCGAAGTGACTTTGTAGGTAGACAAGGTGTGGGCGATGTTGTTCGGACTTGCTAACCTGATGGGGTCCCAGAATACGATCAAGGAGACGTTCAGTCTGGCGTCCGTACCGCGCGAAGCCATGTACGTTGGCCTGGCTGGTGTGGTTCCGTACCTCTTGACTTCTCTCACCACCGTCTATCTTTCCTTCGACATTCAGTACGCAGCGAACCACGGCCAGGGCTTTCTCATGTCTGGCGAGTTGGCCGAGTCACTACTTCACATCATCGAGCCAATTCAGCTTGGCTACGGAGCTTCGGTGTGTCCGTTTGAGCAACTTTGGAAGGAAGACTGTGGCTAATGCTATTCCAGATCATCTCGTTCCTTGGTGCCATCCACTGGGGTCTTGAATGGGCCGGATACGGTGGATTCAAGGGCTATCCCAGATACTCCATGGGTATCATTGCTACAGCCGTGGCATGGCCTACTCTGCTTCTCTCCGCCGAGGTCGGCTTGATCACCCAGTTCCTCGCCTTTACCTTCTTGTATTATAACGATGCAAGAGCATCTGCCCGCGGCTGGGCTCCCCCGTGGTACGGAGTTTACCGCTTCGTTCTTACCTTTATCGTCGGCGCCAGTATTGTGGCTTCGTTAATTGGACGCGGCCAGATCGCCGATCTGGTCACCCGCCCCCCTGGACCTGCCGACAAGTACAGAGAACTTCGAGCCAAGCAGATGGCTGATATTGGACCTGAGCCAGAGGGAGAGGAAGAAGAAGAGGGCGAGGAGGACGGTGATGATGAGTAGACGACGTGGGGAACCTGTGCGTTGAAATGGAGAGTCGATTCTGAGACTGCTGATTGTTTGCAGGGGATCAGTGATTGTACATATCAAGACCAAGGCAGGAAACCAAAGTATCCCTTTTGTTCAACAACAGTTTGCAGCCCGTTTTTGATTGCGACTCTCAGTCACGATAGGGACCATTGCCGCAGTCATTTCCACGAAAACCCACCGTGAGGGACAGCAAGCCATATTCCGATATGGAACATGCAGAAATGATCTGTCGGTTTGTTACAAGCAGCCCGACAACGCCGCTCGCTGATATTGAGCATGAGAGTGGCACAGGCGCCTTGCCTGCCACTCGTACAGCTCGCCTTGTCTTACATCATAAGGTGACTAAGAACAATCACCTGCATCCCCGCACTTGTCCAGCTTCCCCAGACATACAACAGCTGCTGCTGTTCGGTGCCGCATGTATTTGGCTTGCAATTTCCTCTGTCTTGCGGATCCTCTTTGCCTGATCTGAGACACGGACATTCATGCTGTTGCGACTCAAGCAGCACTGGCAGCATCTCTGTTCTAATTCAAGCTCGGGACATCCATCGAACATGGTCTGGCGCCTCGGAATTCAGCCATGGATGCACAAGTACTGACCAGGTCTCCAGGCTGATAAGTCGGACGAGAGTTTTGTCGGCGCGATTGACAATGGCACTACTAGTTCAAGGTTTCTCATCTTCGACCGAAAGGGCAACCCCGTTGCAGAGCATCAGATCGAGTTCAAGCAGCATTATCCACATTCAGGGTGAGCAGCCAATGCATCAGACACGATCCTGTCCCAGCATGCGTCCTTTCTGCATTCTCCCACTAACAGGCCATATTCTCTTTCTTCAGGTGGCACGAACACGACCCCAACGAACTCGTCTCCTCCGTCTCGACCTGCATAGACAAAGCCTGCGCCGAGTTCACCTCTCAAGGCTATTCCCTTTCCAACATAAAAGCCGTCGGCATAACGAACCAGAGAGAAACAACCGTGGTATGGGACGTCAAGACGGGGGAACCTCTCTACAATGCAATCGTCTGGACAGACACACGCTCTGCACACATCGTGCGCGAACTGAAGCAGAAATCCGGCGCAGATGAACTTATAGGCCTCTGTGGTCTACCGCTCTCGACATACCCCAGCTCGACGAAGTTATTGTGGATGATGCGACATGTCGACAAAGTGAAGAAAGCATACGAAGAAGGACGCCTCGCCTTTGGCACGGTGGACACCTGGCTGGTCTACAAACTCAACGGCGGCACTGACAAGAATGTGTTTGTGACCGACGCCACCAACGCAAGTCGCACCATGTGGATGAACATCCACAACCTCAAGTACGACGACAAACTGATCTCCTTCTTTGACCTGGACGTCAAGACGCCGAAGCTTCACCTCCCCAAGATCGTGCCCAGCTCCGATGCAGAGGCGTACGGCGTCCTGGCGAGCACGAAGCTGAAAGGCGTCCAGATCACGGGTTGTCTGGGCGATCAGTCCGCCGCGCTGGTCGGGCAGAATGGGTTCCAGCCCGGTCGCGCCAAAAACACATACGGCACGGGATGCTTCTTGCTCTACAATGTGGGCGAGAAGCCCGTCATCTCGACGCACGGCCTGTTGGCCACAGTGGCGTATGACTTCTCCCCGCAGGGCATCGCGCCCGTGTATGCGCTCGAAGGCTCCATCGCCGTGGCGGGCAGCAGCGTCAAGTTCCTGGTCAACAACCTCGGATTCGCGTCCGAGTCGTACGAGATCTCCGACCTCGCCTCCACGGTGAAGGACAACGGTGGGTGCGTGTTTGTCACGGCCTTCTCGGGCCTGTTCGCGCCGTACTGGTACGACGACGTCAAGGGCACCATATTCGGGCTTACGGCCTACACGGAGAAAGGACACATCGCGCGCGCGACCCTCGAGGCCACGTGTTTCCAGACCAAAGCCATCTTGGACAGCATGGAGAAGGACGCGGGCGTCAGGCTCGAGGAGCTGGCCGTCGACGGCGGCATGAGTAATAGTGATTTGTGCATGCAGGTAAGTGAAAGGGCAAGCAAGCAAAACTCTCGGTTCATCCAATTTGAACCCAGCTGAGTGCCCGTGTGGTTGTGGCTGTGGGCGGTACCTTGATCTGAATCAAACCTGGGGTGGCTTGCTGATTGATCGAATGACCGGTTGACTGACTGTGCGTGACGCGTGCCGTGTAGACGCAAGCCGATATAATCCAGATCCCCGTCGACAGGCCGAAGATGCGCGAGACGACGGCGCTCGGGGCAGCTATTGCGGCCGGGTTTGCGGTGAAGGTGTGGTCGTCGTTCGACGAGCTCAAGGAGATCAACTCGGAGGGGCGGTATTTTTTCAAGCCGCAGATCTCGAAGCAGAGAAGCGACAAATTGTACAAGAAGTGGAGTCAGGCCGTGGAGATGTGTCGGGGATGGATGGCCGAGGATGAGGAAGAGGAGGAGTATGAGAAGGAAGAGGACGGGAAGTCGTGAGGCTTTGACAGTGCTGATTTGAGATGGAGAGACATGTACTATGAGTACTGAAGACGCTTGAACAAACGTGGGAAACCACTCCCGCTGTGATATTGGTACAGCTGTCCGTTTACGTATAGTATCTCTGGGACGAAGAGAAGAGTCGATCTCTCGACCCTCACGGCTCTCATGGCTTTACATGTCCATTGCTCTTCATCGCCTGCTTGGCCTCGTACTGCTCGATCCTGACCTCCCAGTCCCGTCTCAAAGCTTCCATCTTGTCCCACACTTGTGCCCCCCGTGTGATGAACTCAGCCACGTCTTCCTCCGTGGCATCAGTAGAGCCAGTCTTCCGTCCGAGAGTGCCACCCCACCATTTGTCTCTGAAGGGCCTGCCTGAACCGTCGAGACCCCAGCCCGCCACATCGGTCACGCGAACATAAGAATGGCCCAACCGGTCCACTGAGGATCCCCATTTGCAGGGTCCTCCGCCGTCGTTGCCCAACGCTTCGAGTCGCTTTGCCTTGATGTCTGCAGGGGATGCCAGAGCGAGCCATGTCGCCGAGGCAGCACCGAGGTAGGCCGTCACATTCGCCCACGGTGACCCGAACCAGCGAGCGAGATAGATTCCGAGGCGGTAGCATTCATGGACGATCCAGAAGAGGCTGATGATGGTGGTGGTGCAGATTCCCGGATGGGAGAGTAAAAAGACTGGATCTGACTCGACGGATCGTGACCTGCTTGAGCCCAGCGAAGTTGACGGTGCGGTGTACTCTGTGACCTGCTTCGCTGTTGCCGGCTGGTTTGCCGCAGTGAGGGCCAGCAGGTCTCCCATCCTCTTTGTATGCTCGTACGCCGCATCCGACTTCAAGGCCTGATGGTCTTCGGGGTGATAGTGGTGCGAGTCGGCTTCGATGGACGTCGACCAGATGATCTTGCCGGGAGACTCCCCTGGACATGCACGGAACAGGGGCATGAGCCAATGCACCAGCATGTAGTGCCCAAAGGTGTTGGCGCAGAACACCTCGCCGAGGAGAGGTTCCTCGCCCGCCTCAGACTCTGGTGGGAACTGGGGCTTTGTGACCAGTCCCACCAGTCCGAGCTTGTAGGTTGGCCATGTTGTAGCCTGCCTGATCTGCGTCAAGCACGACCACAGGGTCTCGGGCCAGTTGAGGCCTGACCAGCCTCCAATGCCGGCATTCAGGACGATTGCATTGAGATGAGGGAGGTCCGAGGTGAGGAGTTTGCGACTGAGGGCGCGGACGGAGAGGAGACTCGTCAACTCGACATTTTCCGGCTGGAAGTAGATCCTGCGACGGGCCGACTTTGAAGGGCGCGTGTGTCTGGCGAGGTGCTTCTCGAGAGCGGCGAGAGTGTCAGCACCCTTGCGGGCACTTCGCGTGGTGAAGACGATGGTCAAGGTGCGCTCGTCGGACTTGTGAGTCGCAAGATATTCGTCGATGAGCCGACAGCAGGTACCTAGACCGAGGCCACTTTAAGCGCGGAGCATGTAAGCGTTGCACGTTTGGATCGATTGGGTGGAACGCGTGGGTGCGAATTCAGGAATAGGCACAGGAAATGTGGTGGAGGGAGATATTGCCTTACCTGTTTGCGCCGGTTACTAGGACATACTGGTCGTTGCTTGTCATTGAGATGGCCCGTTGGGACTATTGCGGAAGGTTCGAGATCGATCTCTAGACAGTGTGAGGATTCTCTCGAATACGCTGTGTAGGCCGCCTCGAGAATTTCTCTAAAAATGGTTTCACAAGACCGCCATGGTATTGATAGTGATCCGTCGGTGGTGGCACGACTCGGCTCGGGGACGGCTGAGACGGGGGCGAGGCGTGGGTTTGGGGGAGTCGCTGGGCATCAATAGGCGTCCACCAGCCCCCAGGGCTGTGGCTCATCCGCACCTACTTGGTACAATCACATATTGGGCTCTTGCGCACTTCACCCTTCTCGTCCTTGCAACACCATGATGTACGCTCTCCCTCGGTCGTCCTCGACGAGCACAGCTCTGCCACCACTGCGATACGCATTACCTTCTGCTACTGGCGGCATGTCGGCTCGAGTGCCGCCAAAGGCTAGACGTTTCAGACCGGTGTGAATGCATGGCTTGACCATGCTTCATTGGCCTGGTTGGCGACGCCCGACATGGCTGCATGGCCAAATCTGGCAATGTTGTTTTCATGCGATGCCTTGGTGGCGAGGCTGTTGAGCTGAAGTCATCTATCGAGTCAGCTCATGAGTTCATCTTATCTAGCACCCCCCGGAGGTGCTGTTCAATCTGAGATTGCGGCCATTTCAACTACTCTCTAGGGCTTTCTGTATCGTCTTCAAGCATTCAATTGCCGCCATGGGGAATTTCCAGTTCATCCCTCAGGATCCAAACAAGCCTCGATACTCACGCAGAATTCCCGACCTGGAATGGGAAGCGCAGAAGTCTTTCCTCAAGCAACTCCATAACCGTGATTTCACAAGGGAACAAATGGTCACAGAACTTGCCACTCGGCGGAACTTTCATGTGTCGAAAAATCGCCTGGATAACCGAATGAAAGCTTGGGGCTACTCCCGGTACAGGCATCCTTCGTCCCCACCACAACCGTTGGAAGGAGGTGCCATACAGTCTACTACAGCGACCCAGGTGGCAAGAGAAGAAATTGAGGGAAGAATGCATCATGCTCATCGGCTTGAGGACGACAAGGCGGGCCGCGTCCAGCAACACCAAATACTCACACTCCCAGATGCGGGGAGGGTGCCTGCAAAGGAAGTTTCCATGGCACGGTTACAAGCGGTTGACATATTTCTACCAGATTTAGCGAATGGATCTTTACCCGTCACGGAGACGGAAACAGCTCAACAGCTCCATATGAGGAAAGTTCCACAACCCAGCAAGCCTATCTCCATGATTGGCACGCACTCTTCGCCACATACTCGCAGTTCATTCGAAGAAGCGGTCGCTAAGTTCTCTGAATTACCCGACGACGAAGATGGTGGGTTGGAAGCTACCTTGATGAAGCTCCAGAGTCAGTTCCCAAACAGAGCATCTCCAGAACTCGACGGGTCATTCGAAGAAGCGGTCGCTAGGTTCTCTGAAATTCCCGACGACGAAGATGGTGGGTTGGAAGCTACCTTGATGAAGCTCCAGAGTCAGTTCCCAGAAAGAGCATCTTCAGAACTTGACAACTTCTCGCTGCCTCGAATGGTGCAACACCACCGGGGAGCATCGTCGCGAGATAGCATCCAGGACTGCGGTCCCGAGCAGATGTCGACGGAGACAACAGAGCGCAGCCATTCAAGAAAATCAGAGGAACTCCCTGGAGCTGGTCTGTCGCTGTTGGCAAAGCAGGCGGAACTATCTGACAACACAGCTGATAAGGTGCCGGCCACAGGTTTCGGTGCAGGGTATGCTACGTTTGCTGGTCAGACACCGAACATTTCTTGGCCTGACGTTGCTCTCAGTGATCTATCTGACTTGCCATCCCCCGATGGGTATGAATATGTAGCTGCCAGCTTACTGGCCCCTGGAGATTACACTTGCAGCGATAGAATGCTCGCATTACACCGAAAAACCAGCAAGCAACCTGGTTTCGATGTCATATCCAGTCATCAGGTGTCGGCATTCAAAAAGGCAGGGGCTCTCCTCTACACTCTCAAGGCCTACGAAATGGCCTTCGAGTTCTATTTCCTTGTCTGGCAACACTTTACCACATTGGCACAAGATATAAGTCCAGATCTGGTTATAGCAGTTGTCAATTGCGCACGCTGCGCATTGACACTTCGCCAGCGCTCCGCTGTCAAGCAAGGGGTCCGTTCATTACTACATTGGGCAGCGTCGATTGAACAAGGAAATCAGGCCTGGCTCAGGATGGCGCGTCCCTTCTGGCGATACCTCTGTTCTATACCTGGATACGATTTTGATGGGGTCAACTTAATGCAATTCAACTACAGGCCTCTCACACCGTCAGAAATCACCATCATCGACCCTGCCATTGACGGAGACAACGTGTCTTTGGCGCTCAGCTGGACGGCTGTCGACCCGTGTAGGGTCATCGACCATGTCAAGTCATGTGCAACAACCAGATCCTCTGTGCTTGATGCTCTGCGAAAGTTTGCAGGCTTTGTACAGTGGAAGGCAAAACTAATAGATGCTGTCGTTAAACACGGCGGGGTCCTGAGTGAGGGTGACACCCGCCGAGTTGCGCGAATATTATCCTGCCTGCTTCTCCACTGCTATGCTCACACATTGTTGGTAACAAAAGGCTCGCATACGCCTGATTCCGATCATACCTTGTGCGGAATGCCGTGTGCGTGGGAGGAGATGGCCCTGTTAGTCTGGCCATTCATTGTCATGGACGATGTCCGTCGAGAGTACCGTCCCTCAGGTGCGTCACTATCTCAGCTGTTACTGTCTTCCGTCGTCAAGTTTCAACATACGACGACTATAGGAACTTATGGGTTCCTGGATTTATTGGAACAGCGCCAACGATCGACGTACGACCCCTGGTTTGGAATCGAGTCCTCCGTTCGTCATGCACAGGTTGACTGGGTTTTTGACGTGGCATCAGCTGCTGCGAAGCTCAACGCCACCCCAGACTTTTCCTGGCTTGGAGAGTTCGTATCCTCCGATTCTATCATTCTGCACAACACGTTGGACGCGGACGTTGATTGTTGGACATTGAAGTCAGTCAATTTGACGGACTTGACGCTATCCGCTGCTATGCGCACATGGTCAATGTCCGATACCTCATCGATGAGGTCTTTTCGAAAGTTCTCTGAGCAAATCAAACCCTTGATCCTGGAGCGGAACAAACAACGCAGGTCTTCTGACGCGATGTCTCTTGACTCTCGAGCCGGTAGTAGGTCCAGTCTCTCCTCTGTTCTGTCAGGCTTTGCATCGCGTTCATCACGCCGAAGGAGCCCACTATCGTCTGTGCATGAGACGGAAGCTGAAAGACCGGAATTGACCCAGCGTTCCACATAATGGTGGAAGGTTTTGATGGTGTTCGACCACGTCTCAAAAAATCTCTTCTCCGGTTCCAATCTCGACCAGAACCCTTCAGGCTGCACACACGGTACGAGGATGAGCAGAGTGCTGGTGGTGGAGACTGGGCGCCGTGATTTACACCCTCAAATAATGGCGCGCATCCAGACAAAGAACACTGGTCGACCAACCGGTTCCCCCCACATGAACTCACCTTCAGATGTGACTTGACCGATGTGAGATTATAGCAGAGCTTTTCAGAATCACCACCGGTCTCGTACTTGAGGTGAGGATGCCCACGAAAGGTGCTCGAGTGGAGAGCCATGCAACTACGATTCCGAAAATTGGATCTAGGAGATCCAAGCAGCACGTAGCGGCCTTTACACGCTCGAGACAAGTGCTTCAAGGAGACATTGGATTGTAATTGCGTCTTGACAGATCCTCAACACAGCAAGTACGGGGAGAACCAGAAAGCGCTTGATTCGATATACACTGTTCGCATCCAACCCAAGGACCTCCCTCCAATGACTTACTCATCTTTGCTTATGGATGTCTGCTCAGGGAATCTGAAAGGGCAGATCATCCTTACGGCGAGATTTATACATGCGCGACCTCCGAACAAGCGACACAAATTGCCACCTTGGCTCCTTGGAGGGCAATACCCTGACGTGCGATCACTGCTGATGCCGAAGCACAGTTGGACCTGCTCGAACATTCAATCTCAAATTACCGACGACATGTAATAGGTCTTGCACACCCTAGAAATGTATCCTTGCAACTCCGATCATCTGGCCACCAGCACCTCCCTCTTGCACCAATAGCACTCTCTCCAACCCGTCTGCAGTATCTCGAGGCTCTAGTTGCACCACTCCTTGTCCACCTTTCCACTCGCCTAGAGATCTGACACTCTTTACCACATTCCGATGCGCCAAAGTCTTTCCAGCATTCTCGCCTCTGGGTATCTCCACCTCTTGCAGGCTTGGGTCATAGAGAACCTCGAAGACTCTGCCTCGCCGACCGACGGCAGCGGCAGCTGGTGTCGCCTCCCTAATCAGGACACCTTCATCGAGTTTGGAGAACAACAACCATGGCCAGTCTTTACTGGCCAGATGCCCACCCTCCTTGATCAGCTTCTCCAGCTTTCTTGTCGAATTGCCTACGCCTTCCGACACGCCATTCACGACGACTTGCGGAGTGTAAACTCTCGACGTACCACTCGCTTCAGCATACTCGCGCTGGTGAGCATCTGCGGCTGGGATGCCGAAAGGATCCTTCCAACCGAGATGGTCCCAGTATGTGACGTGGTAGTCGAGCACGAGGATGTTCGGATCGGCTAGGGTGAGAAGCGATAGCAACAGCGTGTTTGTAGGCGGACATGAGTTGCACCCTTGCGACTGGAAGGCTTCGACTATGATCGGTCTGTTTGGTCGGGGCTTATGGACGTGTATGGCGCAATCACAGTCCTCCGGGTGGGGATCGAAGAGCGCATAAGGGGGAGGCAGGGCCGGCTCTTCCATGTCGGGATCGATTGGCGGAGGAGCGTCCCATCTCGTTCGATGAGTGTGCTGTGTTTGAGTGGTCTGTTGTGTCTGCTGTCGTGGCCGCTGTTCCTCGTCGCCGTCCCCCAAGCAACATGAGAGCCACTTCATTGGATTCATTGTAACTCGCTGGGAAGGAGAGTGGTACTTGTCGGAATGTCAGGAAACAGTGCGACACTCTTGGGCGAGAAGAGAGGATTGGAAGCATATATGTTTCTTGTTGTGAGAAAACCAGGCGGTGCGATGGGAGCATAGCCTTGCTCGCCCACTTGAAAGTTCAAGGAACGAAGTCGATGAATACAAATCCAGGACTAGGACAAGCCAAAGCCAAGCCGCCTCTTGCAGCCTCGAGGCGGACCATGGAGACCGCATGACCTGCGTACCGGGCTCGACCAGGGGCACAATTTGATATTGATTGCCACAGTCCCGAGAGCGCCGGGACGCATGGTTCAATTGTCACTTTATCACAGGCCTTTGCCGCAACCCAGGGGCATTTCTAGCAAGAGAAGACTAGCCCCGCCAGGCTGAGCGGGCTTAGATCTCACAATGGGGCCGAATGTTTCCATCATCAAGGCGCGCTGCCGTAAACGAGCAGCCAATCATGGTGTTTGGCGGAGACAAACCAAAGGGGTGCTTAATTTCAATCGCGGCTTCGTGATCAGCATCTACTCTGGATCTTTGCCTTGAGGAGAGGCTGCTCGCACAATCTCCTTCTGTCGCCTCGAACGCTAGCGAGCTCTACGATGATGTGTCGCGTTTCCCAGGTGGCGCCCAACATGCTGGATCGACGGCTGTAAGCAACGAGAATCGACAACACCGTTGGTTGTCAATAAGGAGATCCTGCACAACGCTATAGGAGCTTCGTGATCACGACCTGGGTAAAGACGTGTTTTCATGCAGCCACCGCGAAGTCATCAACAACAAGAAGAATCATAACCGTTGGTTCGACAACACCGAAACTCTCAGTCTAGTCTGGAATCGTGCAGAAGAAACGCCGCCAAAATGCAAGGTAGGACCATAGTGGTCTCTCGGGGACCAACAAATACCATTTCACCATCTGCCATCTGCCATCTGCCATGCTTCCCGGGTCGAGGGAGGCAAGCAGTTGCTAGGAAATTCGATAGGTGAACAATCTAAGAATGATAGCTCGGATTCATAGTGAGTGAGTGCGGCATTGAACTCGACGCAGGAAGTGTCTACGCCCTATACAAATCTCGGACCACAGCTTCACATGTCCGACGACACCTTAACTGGATGCCGCAAATTATACCATCAGGATAAGCAACGCCTGTGTGGTTTGAGAACGAGCCGGCACTGCGTCCATTCTCTGGAGAATTAGCACTGAATTAGCAGACCATCCCCCCGTTGCCAACGTCGCCACTTGCATTATATATAGCGAACCGCCTGGAGGCCAAGCAAGATTCTAGGGATGAAGTACGAACCAGGGCACCGACTGAGTGGTTCGAGGGAGAAGGTCTCCTGCATGCGGTGGTTGTCAAGTCCGCAATGAAGAATGTGCAACATTCCAGGCCGAAAATGGTACAAATCTACTCGGTTGGTGCCGAAGATCCGGCCATTGTTCGAAGCATGTCACCATGCCTACGGGAGGTATGTCTCTTTGTTTGAGCCAAAAGCCGGAAACAGAAAGACGCGCCATCACTTCAACAAACTGCTTCCATTCGGCACCCCCGACCTCGTGTCCTGACCATTGCTGAGCGAGCACGACTATATGGTGCAGTCAGAGTACTCCCATCTCTTCCGTTGTCCGAACGGAGCGCAGTCGCCATGATGTTCCTCGTCCTACTTTGGCAATTTGCCTGCCTGGGGCTTGTAGAGGCCATCGCAGTCACCGAACTCCCTATATGTGCAGTAAGTGCATGGGGTGTCGCTAGGACGGACGAATGCTGATTTGAATAGCAACAATGTCTGTCGAATTCGACGTCGGCCCAGAAATCATGCTCAGTGATCGATATCGCCTGTCTCTGTTCGAGTTCGACTTACGTCGCTTCGCTGTCGTGCTGTCTGTACACCGAATGCAATGCTTCAGAGCAAGCACGTACGTTGGCGTGAATATTGGCGAGATATATCGTTCTGACACTTCCCAGTTGCGATCCAGTTCAACAAAGAAGAATGCGCCAACGTGAACGAGACGGCACCAGACTTTGTGGGATGCTCACCCGCAGGCCTGTCGAGTGCACTTGCGAGCATGAGCATCACGTTCTCTCCCACCGCGTCTTCATCGGTAACATCTTCCACGTCCGGGTCGGTCAATCCCAGCATTACAACCCTGTCTGGAGACCCGATCTCAGAAACGGCAGCGAACCCGACTGGGAAACAGATCACGATAACGACGTACGCCGGGGCACCGCTGATGACGGGCAGCTGCACAGTGCCACACTTTGCGGTTGTCACCGATCCGGTGGGAAGGGTGACCGCGTTCCCGGAAGTTGGCTGTTCTCCGGACAGGCCGGATTGCTGTCCATTCCCAGATGGGCTGAATGGGGCTATCTCGAGATGTCCACAAGACTATTTCACAACTGCCAATGCCTGCTGTCCACTGTGAGTAAAGTCTTTGAATCCCTAGCGAGGCGTGCAACTGATGATCGGTAGTGGCTACCAGATTTATTATACCAACATTGGCTGGGAAACACCGTGCTACTCGGTACCAGCGACATCATATGTTCCAGCGTCCACTCCCACGGTAGCCAGCTTGACCCTCATCACCGACCACGTCTTCTCTCAGAAGTATCCGCTTCTGATGCCGGCACAAAAACCTAGCTTCCCTCCCGGAGCAAAGATTGCAATTCCGGTCTCCATCTGGGCGTTCATCATGATAGTATGTGCGGGAGTCTTCTTCTATGTGAGGAAGAAACGAAGGGCGAGAAGGGCAGCAGAAGCAAACCGCGTGACCACATTTCCGCCTGAAGAACCAGCGATGCCTCACATGTCCATGTCGAGAGCGGCGACCATGCACGAACTGGATATTTCAGAGGGGCGGGCAGTATCTCCGTCGGCTACCCCGGCCAACGGCTGGCCGATGTTCACGGCACAGTCGCCGCCAGCCTACGACCCGTCCAAGGCAGCACCTTCACCCATCATCGCTAAGCAGCCGCCGATTCCCCAGGAGCTCCCAGGGAGCACTTTTATTCACGAGCATCACCCAGCGTATTCGCCCGCCGGAACCTCTGCAGGTACACCCACTGAACCGACCGCGGGGTCTGCTCCAGGGACGCCTGAGGAGCAAAAGTCACCTGTGCTCTCGTCCGCCACACCGCGGTCAGAGACTCACAGTCCAGTATTTGTGTCGCCGATGGGGTCCCCGCGCTTACCGAAGACTGGTTGAGAGGGAGGTGTAGATATCTGAGTAGTTTCATAATCCTTCACAATGTAGCAAATATCAATGATTGATGTTGAAGTTTTCAGCCTCAAGCCCCGCCAGATTGAAATGAGGAGCACGTGACCGATTGCGAAAACGGGCCAAGTCGGAGCGGAGCGGAAGAACTTTCAGCCAGAGCGGAGCAGCCTAGATGACCCGATCGGGGTATATCGTCAAGCATCTCAACTGATGGTGCAGGCGAAGGCGTCACCTGCCGCCATCGCCCGTCGCCCTTCGTTGCCTCACTCATCTCTTTACCCTTCGCCTGCGTGCCGAATATCGTCGACGATACGAGGCGTGGCACGGCATGTCATCTCTTTAATCGTCTATTTTCTTTAGTGGCCCGTTGTTTGTCTGCTGGTTTCCTTGGTCCTTCTATCATCTTCCAGTGTCCTGCGGCCGGCGCCGCCACCCACTCAGTCTCTTCACAATGGCGCTCCAGGCTCCCCTCGCTCAGTTGCCTGTGAGTGTCTCAATCATGGCTCATAATCACCACACGCTGACCGTCTCTCTTATGCAGAGCCTGACTGCGATCGGTCCCGATGTGCTAACCACATTCCCTTCACTGTTCACTTCGCCGCTCCAGACCCTCCGAAAATACCGACTCGCACGGCTGCGACCTGAATCAGATGTGCGACAGATACATTCTGCCACCAAGAGGATAAGTCGGCCGAGTGTACAGGACCAGACACTGCGATTGTCAAACGGTTCTGATGCCTTGCAGGCCGCCTCCAACGTCGTTCTACCTGATTTCGTCGCCTCCCTTCCGACCGAGACCCGCATTCCCATGATCTCACCTTCGACGTCGAGATGCCTCTCTTCCACAGTCGCCTCCCACTTAAATCCCCTTTCGAATATGCGCAGTGCATTCTCGACGAGCGCGCCAAGGACGGCGCTGAGGGCGACGACGTCCGGAAACACGTTTATACCGTCTCGGACACAACCCTCGGTAGCGTCTTTGCTCTTCGGGCCTCCGAGAAGGGGAGGTCATTCAGCCTTGAAGCAGCAGTTCCGACAGTTCTCGGCGACCTCCTCGCGTTCGAACCAGAACATGCTCGCCCATGCCGAGCGCACCGCAAATAACAATCCAACAAGTGCCACTGCCCAGAATGCCTTCTACTCCGCCCTCCTACGTGCCAACATGCCCAAGCTCGTCATCGAAAGGTACCAGTCTGGTCGATACGCTACCAATCCCGCCGCCGATGCTTCCTACCTCAAGGCTTTGCAAATGACTGGCTCCCTTCCCGCACCAGGTGCTGCCAGTCCCAACGTTTCTGCTGGACAGGGCGGCAATCTCAGCCCCGACAAATTGCGAGCCGTAGGTCAAGCAGTCGCTGGGCAGAATTACGGGGGCCAAGTTGTCATGCCCAGCAACAAGTCGGGGACTGGGGCCAAAGAAGCACCGCTGTACGTCGTGGTTGAAGAATCTTGGGGTGCCACGATCCTGAAATGGGTCAAAACAATACTCTGGGTTAGCTTGGCTGGCTATTTCCTCTTGGTCGTACTCACCATGGTCGTGGAGATGACTGGCAGCTTTCGAACCAGAGTTGGCCAAAACAACGAAGTCCAGCCGCAGCACCAAACCGTCCGCTTCAGTGATGTCCACGGCTGCGATGAAGCCAAGGAAGAACTCCAAGAGCTGGTCGAATTCTTGAAAAATCCGGAGAAGTTCAATCAGTTGGGCGGCAAGCTGCCAAAGGGTGTTCTACTGGTTGGCCCGCCTGGTACTGGCAAGACGATGCTCGCTCGTGCTGTTGCCGGCGAAGCTGGCGTGCCTGTCTTTTACATGTCTGGCTCCGAGTTCGACGAACTCTATGTCGGTGTTGGTGCCAAGCGTGTCCGAGATCTCTTCACTCAAGCACGAAACAAAGCGCCGGCCATCATCTTCATCGACGAATTGGATGCGGTTGGAGGGAAAAGAAATGCTCGGGATCCTGCTTACGCCAAACAAACGCTCAACCAGCTTCTCACTGAGTTGGACGGATTCAGCCCTAGCACTGGGGTGATCCTCATTGCGGCAACGAATTACCCAGAGTCGCTGGATAAGGCCCTTGTGCGCCCAGGTCGGTTCGATCGCACTGTCAATGTCCCATTGCCAGATGTCCGCGGCCGGGTCCAAATCCTCAAACACCACATGCGAAATATGCCGATTGCTGCTGATGTGGACGCCACTAATCTTGCGCGAGCCACGAGCGGTATGTCGGGCGCCGATCTTGAGAACCTGTGCAATCAAGCCGCAGTCAATGCCTCCCGCCTGAAGTACAAGAAAGTCACCGCTCAGAACTTTGAGTGGGCCAAGGACAAGATCATGATGGGAGCGGAGAACAAATCTCGCGTGATCCGAGAAAAGGACAAGATTCAGACTGCGTACCACGAAGCTGGCCATACCTTGGTGAATTTGTTCACCCCAGCCAGTAATCAATTGTACAAAGTGACCATTATCCCCCGTGGCCGAGCTCTCGGTATCACTCACTTCCTCCCGGAGATGGACGCCGTGAGCATGGCCTACGACCAATTCATTGCGCAGATCGACGTGTCGATGGGTGGCCGAGCAGCAGAAGAGTTAATCTATGGCCCGAACAAGGTGACGAGTGGCATCGCCCATGACGTGCAGTCAGCTACACAGACAGCATTCTATCTGGTCACACAATGTGGCTATTCTTCCAAACTCGGAAACGTCGACCTCGCATCCGACTACGACAAGCTCTCGAGCGAGACCAAGATGGAAATCGAACGCGAAGTACGAGAGATTGTGGAAGGTGGACGACAGCGAGCAGACCGAATTGTAAAGGAGAAGCGGAAAGAACTGGAAGCGTTGAAAGATGCGCTCCTCGAGTTTGAGACGCTCGATAGAGAAGAGATCATGAAGGTGCTTCGTGGGGAGAAATTGCAGAAACTCGAGGTCGAGCTCCGCGAGGACGAGGAGAGAGACAATAATGACGGAGGAAACAAAACGCCGCCGAAGAAGGAAAAGGAGACCGGGCCCAAAGGCAGTCTGGGCATCAAGCTCCCAGATGTCCTTCTGCCGCCTGGCACAGGGGGACGGGGAGGTGAGAAAGAAGGGGTTTCGAGAGTCAGTGATAGATGATATTCCTGTCCGCGGATGGGTTGCTTGTCCATTTTTCTCGTGGATTATTTAGCGGGTAGAGGACGATGAATCTCTTATCGTGAATGAAAAGTAAAATCAAGCCAGCTGAGTTGAATACTCGAGTACATTGCTTGTGAACGGCGACGGCCCTGAGAATACTGAACCAGGGAGGGAGGCAAGCAGGCCCGTTCTGAAAGGTCTCGACCGTGTCATGATGGTGAAATCTTCGTCCAGGTGTATATCGACTCAGCAGCTCGTCGGTAGGGCACCGAGAATGGCGGTGTACACGGCATTTGCAGTCATTAGCGGGGAGAGTGACGGCAGACAAGATAATCCAGATACCATATCACGAGAGATTAGGACATGAAGTCCCGATATTCTCTATAAGCTCGCACGGTTCGCACGGCTCGCATTCTCGTCGTTTGTCACTTTTTTTCAGTACCTATATTTATCTCCTGTATTTGTCGTGTGGGTACCAGTCCGATCTTCCATGGTCAATCTGTTGCCAGGGCATGCCACCAACGCTGCCTTGTGGCCAAGTAAACCCTCTCTCTTTAATGCTCGCTCGTCTCTACATGAGACGCCACGATGGGCATGATGCCGGGGATACTACCCTTGCACTCGCCCAGGACGACTTGAAGATGTTTAGCCACCGTGTCTACGCTGAAGATGTCCTCCATGTCATCCACGCGGCGGCCGATCCCGCCTTTCCACGCGGCCAAGACAACGCTGGTCAGATCCATCAAATCCACTCGCGGCATGTCACGCCAGAAGCGGGTGCGCAGCCCCTCGGCAGCGTAGAGCAGACACACTAGCATGTTCAAGGCAAGGATGCCGCCGATGTATTTTGTCTCGCCCAGCGTTACGGCCGGAATCTGCGATACGTGCCTCGACCGGGCGTGTCGCGTTCGCAGCGACCAGACGTGCCGAAGACAGCGCGACGAGGACGTCGTCGATGCAGGAAGTCACGTAGTCGGCGACGCCGCGAAGGGTAGTGCTGGTGGTGGTGGAGGTGTTGGTGGAGGTGGAGCTGAAGTCGCCGCCCGTGGCGTTCTGCAGCTGATTGACGTTGAGACGGAGCGTGCGGCCGAGGTACGAGCCGCCGAAGGAGCTGTCGACGTACGAGAAGACCCACAGCCAGTTTGTGACTTTGTCGATGACGGCATCGGCGTAGCTGGGCCACGGTCCTTCGGCGCCGGGCGTCACGGAGATGATGTTGTTGGTATGGTTGACTAGAATGGAGAAATTCTTTGCCTGGAAATCGAGTTGGCATTGGATGTCCTTGAGCTGGCTAAACGACCATGCGTCTTGGGATGCCGTGGCCGCGGTCGTCAGCGAGAGGTACGACCGGCGCGTCTTGTTGCTGTACGTGGCTCCCCAGGAGAAAATGTCCAACGGCGAATAGCCGACGTAGACCCAGCCGCCCGTGGATGCGCCCGTGGGGTAGGAGCCCGCGGCTTGGTATATGTTCAACGTCCAGCCGGAGGGTGTGTCGAGCTTGTCGATGCGGTAGGCGCTTGAGGCGTTGTATATGCATGAGACCTCGGAGTGGAAGCCCGGCTCAGAGTACGAGATCCAATGGGGAGGAGAGCTCGGGCCTGTTGCGACGACGTCAACAAGCCCTGTGGCCGCGCCGACGCCGTAGCTTCGGTTGAGATAGAGAAAGCCGATCTTGTCGAGCTTTTGATGCAAGTGACCTGATGAATTGGTCGTCGATGCGTCGCTTGCTGAGTTGAGGATCACGCTGCGTAGGGCGCTGGGATCGAATGAGAAGAGGCCGTCGGCTGTTAGCCATTGACCGAGACTGCCAGGTCCTGACGTCGATGTTGAGGTATCACCCTCCATAGCGAGGACAGATTGGTTGGCTGGAAACTCGGGACAAGAGTTGTTTGAGAGATGATTTTCTCAGAGGGTATTGGTGTCATGGCACCGGACCACAGTGCAGCGGGCAAGAAAGATAGCAGGACGAACGTTATCAGCGGCACGGACAGGTGCCATGGCAATGAGAATGACACTCTGGGTATAGATGCTGCGTGGACAACTTGGAGTGCGTTGAGGGAGAATGTACGCGAAGAGATGGATGCTGTAAAGGAAGACTTCAGGACCGTACCTATCACGGGAGGTCGATAAATATATATTCTTCCCAACAATGTTTGTTTTGCAAATGTCATGGTTGGTGGTGCCTTTTCTTACACAGGGCTTGCACTTGAATAAGGCCGAGGACGTGGGATATGATCTGAATGGCAATTGCAACCGTCGTCCGCTCGTTGGTGATGAATTCGGCAAAGCCCTCGGAGCCTCTCCATCCATTTACTTTGAGGCCGAACAGATTGAACGCGACAGTGGACGTCAAGAGCAGCCCCGGTATGGGGAGGCCTTGGCCAATCCAAGCAGACTTGGTGGGAGACGACGTTGTTTTCTGACTATTCATGCTCAAGTATGCACCGTTCCGAATTCTCGTGCCGTCAGTGATGAACAGCAACCCTGCCAACTGGGTAAGGAAACAATGCGAGATACATCACGGGTCTCCAGGAACGAAGGACATGAGACCCTCAAGTACTTACTCCGTACGACGCTGGATTACCTACCCTTGGTCGGAATCTGCCTTGTCTCGTCCCACGCTACTTGGCGCCGGTAGCACTTCTGGACAGAGACACAGACATCGAAGTGCAAGGCTGCACATGTCTTGATTGGAATGTTCCCCGGTCCTCCGTTGGCCGTGATGGCAGATGAAACACTGCCTCAGAGGCAAAAAGCGCCAGCCTCGGGGTTAAAAGGTAGTGGATTTCGTACTTGGACGAGATAGTTCATGGCGTTGCATGACATAGGATCGGGGCATCGCAACTAGTCCAGAATAGAGAAGCCCTTCTGCTTCGCGGTTCAAGCGCTGACAACCGAGAGCAAGTGGAGAGGTTGGGTAGGGTTGAATATTATTATGAGAAAGTGAAAGTCGAGGTGTTGATCACATGCCGAACATGATAAAGCCCCAACCAATGATACCAACTGCCAAGAGCCTAAGCTCAATGTTAGGCAACATATATTATTGATGCACTTTTGTGTCTTGAAATCGATGGTGAAATCCTTCCGATGGATTCGTAGCTCAGTGGTAGAGCGAGAGATTGCAGTTATCTCCAGATATCTCTAGGTCACGTGTTCGAACCACGTCGGATCCTTTCTTTTGTAATTCCACGCAGGAGCCATGGTGCGTTTGTTTTTGTTTTTGGATGCCTTCTGCGCTGTTTGGTCACGGCGTTATTCGTGCCTTTTTGACTGCCTGTTCTATCTCACGTCTATGTGGTGCATTCCAATTGCGATTGGTCTTGGCACGTTGATCGGCAAGCCGCGGATCATTTTGGGGTGGACAGGCGGCCAAAAGTCGTTGCAGGACTTCATCCCCTCGCATTACAGCATGCGAACCGCTGGCGTGAGGTCAGAGTCGGCATCAGTCTGGGTTGTAGTATATGTACATGATGGACGGAGTACGCTGAGAACCCTCCCCTCGTAAGGGTTCAGTTGCTCAAGTCTCCGGGGAAAGAGGATGCTCAAGGCCTCTTGCATGAAGTCGTCAGAGAGACGAATTACTGGTGGGTTACGCAGTATCACCGTGTTAACAACGGCATGCATCAGCCTTCTGAAGACAACGACCAAGGTTGGTCATGATTGCGTTGGCTTCGCCGCAGAGTGCCGGCATACGGTAGATGCTCGGCTCGACCAGCGCCATGGATTATGGTCCAGTAAGGCTGAGAATTCGCTCGTGCATCGAGGAGGCATCTGGCCCAACTTCTACAACTGCCCATCAGTGTGGATCTGGCGAAGCCGGCGGACGCCCAGCCTCGACCGAAGCGGCATCAATCAAAACTTCAGCTCTGTCCACTTCGTACTGCCTGCCAGCCCCGAAAGATGGTGATGGTTGGTTCCGCGAGTCAATGGAGCATTCATGAACTGTGCAGACACGGCCACTCTACATAGGCAGCCCTGATTCTGTGTGCCCATTGAGCTCGAGACGCTCAGCAGATAATCAACCCGTTGCAGGCTCGGCTCGCCAGGCTCCCACGGAAGGCTTTATTTCAGCCGCTGAGCCTCTCACGGCACGCTGCATCTTTCGAGAACTCCTCTCCTCTAGGTCCTGTACTTCGATATTGGTAGGTATTCAAAGTCCGCTTCGATGCACTGAGGTCGTGCTCGAACTCCTCAGTGACTTGCCACTGGCACGGTATCGCAGAGATCAGCTGAAAGCCCTTTACTTGATTTTGACCTCCCCTCCTACGTAACGTCCTCCTCCACAGCGTCCAAGGGTACAGATGTGTACAGGGGAAGGGACTGCAGTGGAGGTACATAGTCTCTAGCCCTACTGTCTCCTGATATTAGCCGTCTCGGTTTGATGCTCTGATGCCCATTTTTGGAGACAGCCCACCACTCTAGAGGACAGACACTACAAGTGCTACTTACTCGGCGATCACGTTGATCCCCGCCCGCACACCTACACGTGTTCACAAATATCAAGGCGACCCTTCCTCAGGGAGAGAGGCAAACATGGTGGGCTTTGCACGAGATCGTATCCCAGAAACGTGCATGTCATTCCTTTGCAGCCTCCGCTCTTTATGGCCGCGTGCATTCTATCAAACCCCAGTTTCAGCACGCGTGATGATCTCTTGAGGACTTTGACAGCGACTTGACAGCCACAGCAAGGCGGATAGGCACGGCACATTCAATGCAGCAAACAGTACTCCGTACTGTACTCGTACGGGCGCCATGATCAGCAAATGCTTCATCGGACTGATCACGCAAACAGTACGATCGTCGTCGGGACTCAGTACGAGTACACGTTCGGCCTTCCACAGCACAACCACCTACTTCCTTGCACTTGCTTCCTGTGGCATGCTGGGCACGCTACGTGTCACTTTTGACAGCGATGGGCAAAGTGTTGTACCTTCGTATCAGAAGGGGCCATGTCTCCATAGCGGCTGATGTGAGGCGGACGCTCCACCGCGTTACCAATCGCTTCAGAGCACTCCAATGACTCGTACCAGGATTCTCATGCACAGGACACAGTAAACTTTGCAGCGTGATGCAATTTTCAGATAGCCATTCTGCCGGTACGCAAGTACTCCCGGAGGTGCGAGCCGACCGGCCGCTTGCTTGCTTGCTTGCTTGATTGATCGATCGATCGAGTTGAGTTATCCCCTGGCCATTGACGATTGACGATTGGGCACCATCCAGAGACCATGGCTCATGAACCATCCACATGACTCGCGAGTGTACGAGTACGAATAGCATCTTTGACTGCGGATGGCCCTCCTTGCCGCAGAGCTGCAATACGAGTACTCGGTACCGGGTGCTCGTAATACATGGCACATCCGAAGAAAAAGCTCGGTTCACCTATTGCATGCACGCCAACCCGCGTTAGGGCTAGCTCCGATATGCGAGGAGACCGAAGGGACCCAGTCGAGCCAAGCGCTAGCGAGGAAGTGCCCCGGCTTCCCCGGCTTTAGCGCTGCATTGCAAGTACCCACTCACCCACTCATCCAATCACTTGATCCACGCGCACACTGCGCGACCTGTTCGCAATCCCCTGGCGTTTGGCTTCGACGTGTCGCTTTTCATGTCACGGGCCACCGGGCCAACTCAATATTCCCAGGTGTGCAGTACGGAGAACTCGTCCTGGAAACCACGCACTCCGTATCTCAGAGAGAGCCACTTTCATCCTGTGTGGGTGGTTGGAGAGTACTACGTACACGGGCGCACAGGTCAGAAACGTGTCTGTTTGCTGGCTTGGATGGCTGGTTGTTTGCTGCTGGATGTTGACTGGAAACTACGGTGAGCCGGTCAGCGAGTACCCCGATTGTTTGCTCTCAAAGCTCGATCTCGAACACGAATGGAAAACCATGCTTGAGATTGTGCTCCCGATGCTGTTGCTTGGGGTTCTACATACCCAACGGCCGTGTCTCGTGACAATTGACCAAGTCTCCTCCTCAATCGACAGGTTGAACAGTCGACACCCATACCCATATCCATACCCACATTAGACATAAGCATACACGTAGACAAACTTGGATAACTCGCCCGTTTTCACTCTCATCATCGCATAGAAAACCCCGAAAGTTGCCGCACTGGGCCGCCACCACATCCGAGTCGACCGTGTGGGCAAGCCGTCAAGAGAACACACAATGCAAGGCTGATGGGGAGAGAGAGAGAGAGAAGCTCTCCGCTCCGCTCAGGCCGCCTCGGTCGGTCTCTCCTCGTCACTCTCGCCATCTTCCATGTCTTCAAGCCACTGGTTGAACGAGCGGATGATCTCCCACCCTCTGGCGACGCCGTCGCGCTGCGGAGGCGTCAACGTCTCGACAAATTCGAGCGCCTCCAGCTCCAGACACATCTCGCCGGACAATTCGTTCATCTTCTCGAACCGGTCCCAGGCCGTGGAGCCCCGTTCGATGGGGGCGTCGGTGTCGACGCTGGTGCGGTCCAGCCGATAATCACACTTCTGGCAGCAATGGTGGCGGCAGACCTTGCACCGTGGCCAGCTCATGATTTTGCCGCCGTTCTCGCACTTGCAGCAGCGGCCCCACGACGTTCGGTCCTGCTCCAGCCGCATCGTCATCAGCCTGTACATCCGCGTCCGAGCTTGCGGGCTGGCGGGCTGGTGTCGTGACCGGCTGCTGCTGCTGTTGCCACTGCCACTACCGCTGCCACTGCCACTGCCAGCGTCGAGGGGTGGTGTGGTGGGGGAAGCCGCAGTCACGTTCCCGTTCAGATTGCCACTGCCACTGCCACTGCCACTGCCATTTCCGTTCACGTGCCCGTCGAGAGCGACTGCTTTGCCGGTGTGTCTGGGGCTCGACATGGTCTGTATCGTCATCTGCGCCGAACAAAATAGGATGTGGCCAGAATCGTGCTTGTACTGGTCGAGGGCCGGGCGATGGACAGAGTTTCAGCAGCAGAGAAACGTAGAGGGCAGGAATGAAGAGTATTTACCTAGGTAGAAGTGATGATGAGGTTTGACAGAACTGCCAGTGACTTCAACCCATCGCCCCAGTATTTATTCCACGCGGGACACGAGAGTGGCTGCTTGACATGACATCCTGAGCCTGGTCGCTGCAAGGCATCGCATGCCGCAGTCACTGGGTGAAGGCCAGAGGGCCAACCCTCCCTTACATGAAGCAGGGAAGATGTGTTGGGAGCAAAAGTCATCCCCCAGGCCGTCGGGTCCAGGTGAAACTTTGGGCGTCAAGCCTGCTGAGCAGTCAAAGAGTCAAGACTCCCGGGGCCAGGATTGGTGAGCGAGTGGCTGGGGAACGTGCGCCATACATACCACTCGCAGGCTGCATGCAGGTTGCCGCGTCTATCGATGCAGGCTGTCATCTGGGTCGCAACACATATCGTGTCAGAGGCGCGGCAGGGGGATGGCGGGATGTTTGCTATCCAGCCTCGTTTGCTCTGTGGCTCCCAGATCCGAAGTTCTGCAGCCGAAGACACTGGAGGAGGGTTGTGTCTGTGTCTGTGTACAGGAAGCCCACAATTCACGGTTCACGGTTCAGGGTTTCATCTTGTTCGGTGAATCTTATACAGGCGGGCTGCTTTTCGAAGGCAAGTCGATTACCGTGTGTGCCTTCTCGCATCGCTCAGAGTCTTCGACGTCACCACTAACAAATGTAGAGAGTACCTTGCATGTCAAACCCCCAATGCTGTCTCAGCTACGCCCTTTGGGGCGTCTGCTCGCTTAGCCTCACCGCTGGCAATCTCTGACTGGTTGGCCTGTACGTCGAAGACCCTGTCAACCCGTACACGGTAGAGAGCAGAGCATGGCAAGAAGCCACCATCCAGTAGAGACGAGCACGGGTGGTACGTGCGCAGGCGAATTATACTTGGGACGCTGTCACGTTTGGAGGCATCTGGAGCGGGAAAAGGCAACGGGTTCATCGGATGGTAACGGTCAACATGGCAGACGAAGACGATACCGTCAAACCCCCTGCTCACCGCGTGCTGTTTCTCGAAGAGACAGGAAGGACTTCAGACCTCGCCGTACTCTGCCACACCGTATGGTGCTGCTCTCTCTGAGACTGGCTTAAAGCATGTGTCCCACCAGAGTTCTTTTCATCCTCGAAGCCCTGCTCAGTCGATCGAGGAGCGCACACCTATGGTCCGTCCCGTGCCGCAGGCTAACTATGATACGCGAAACTCTCTGGTCAGGTAGGGGGCCTTCGAAGGTTCTAAGAATAGGCACTGTGTGCCCTGAGTCGACCCCGACATGTCTGGGGGGAGGTGTCCCGTAGATCGTCCTCCTCAGTTGTCATACTGGATCAGCTTCTTGAACCAAGGGAGATACTTGGTCAGGGACCACTCCATGACCCTAGACAGGCAGATGATAGCCGTGACCAGTTGGGCGGGCTCCTCCAAATGCCATTCAGCTAGCTCATAGATGAGCAGCTCTTCGGGCTCGCCGGGCTCGCTCATCAGTGAGGCATATAACGTCAGGTTGTCACCCTTCCAGAGCCACAGCGGCTGGGTTGCTATGCTCTTGTCTCGTAGATATGGGTTCCATTTCTGCATCTCTTGTATTCTCTTGACGCCCGCCGCCGTCCAGACCCCTAGTTGTGCATCGCCCGGCCCCTCAGCGGCCAATCCCTTCACTTTGACGTGGGATAAAAGGACGTGGTTCCAAAGTCGTGGATGCTGACACTGATTCAGGGAGTCGCCGGCCAAGTTGGTGAAGACACGCCGAAGCCGCCGAATGTTATCGAGCTGGAAACACAGCGAGTAGTCCACCCGCTTTTGCGATGCCGGAATGCCTGCGGAAACGGGTAGAAGTGCCGGCGGAGAAATGCCAATGGATTTACTGTGTCTCGGTGAGTACGAGAATGACAAAAGGGAACCGAAGGGAACCGGAGAGACCGACACTGTCGCAATTTCCACCTCCAGATCAGTTCGCAGCCTCTTCTGCGCCAGGCGAAGCATCGGAAAGACCAATCTGTCAGACCATTCGTCCTCCGTCACCCTCTTCCTTTTGCACAGTTTGATCTCGTTGGTCAAGTCCTCGACGTCCGGGGCGAGATCAGCGAAGATCCGGAATTCGACATCTTTCGTGAATTGAGGCAGGATATTAGGCCCGAAGGGGTTCAGGTGGGAGCGGAGGAAACCCTGTTCTGGTGAGCAGGCGAGTAAATTCTGTCCTGGTGTAGAGGAAGCTCACCTCCAGATCCTGTGGAACCTGGCGATGCACTTTCTTAACCGCTCGATAGAGCTCCTCGAACCCTGGTATGAACTCCTCGAATTCCTATTGTCGGGAGCGCATCGTGTCTTTCTGAACGAAGGAGATGCTCATCGTGTTCGGTGCAGTGTCACGCCGCCCACCCATGGAGCCGGAGCTGAGGCTTTGAAATGCAGTCACGATACTCTGCGCGTCGTCACCGCTGATGTTGGTGCTGCGGAAAAGGCTCGCGACCGATGTGATGTTAGCAGTATCTGGTATCCGAGACGCAGCCCTCCCCTGAGGCTCGACGAGTTCGAGCCATTCGAGGACGCGCTCATCCTCATAGTAGTAGTCTGACATGGTATAAAGCTGCGAAGAAAGTCAACTGCAATATGTGCACGATGAGCTGTAGGTACACGGTCGACACGGTACTGTAGGTGACGCAACATGCGCTGTGACCCGCGCAAGGCACTGAGGGGACAAGCCCCGGGGCATGGGTGGTCGCCCGCGGGCCGCCTGGGCAGCCTCAGGCGCCCACCACCTGCTGCCTGGCCGCCCGCACTGGTGGCACCTGCTTAACTGATCAGCAGTGATGCTCCCTTCATTGAATTCGAGGCAAGCCTCTACCATATCTGAACCATATCGGGCGGCCAGAGCATACCCTTACCTTTTCATGGCAACCACTGTCTGTAAATGCCACTCCTGCATCCTGCGTCTCGGGGAACCAGCAGCTCATGTCGGAGGTAGGAGTGAAAGACCAAAGAACCCAAAAGAAACTCTTTATCTGCACAAAGAATCAAGACAGCACCAAGGAGTCGGTCTGAGCGCTCTCAAGCAGGATCTCGACAAAGAAACAAGGACAAGATCTATTTCTGCGCTTGAGTTCAGAACCTCAGATTGTCTTGGGTATGTACAAAAGCAATTCTCCTTCCCCCTTCAACACTCTCCTTTACGCTAGCTAGGATATCCCATCGCAACCACAAGCCGGTCTAATCTACACAGCTCTCAACACCAATACACATAACCACCATAAAGATGAGCCACATTGGAGCCAAAATCCTGGCTATGCACGGCGAGCGTCTCTCCAAACCCATTGAAGTCACTCTTGACGCTACTTCGCTCCCCAGGCCGGAAGGACTCATCCAACGGACTGTGGACGAGATCTTCCATCTTTTGTGCACCGCAGTCGTAACCACTTCTCTGATTTACCTGGTGGCTTACTTTATCATCACGGAGCCTTGGGACCAGGTTCAGCCCAGCTTCAAGATCTTCCATTTCGTCAAAACCATGCAGAAGTTGCTCATGTGAAGGAGTTGACCAACGGACATGGTGGAATGTCCTACTGGTACGCTTGAGGCAGGAAAGCACTGGACTGGCAGTTGTACATAGTAGTCGGCCATGACATGGTCTGAGAGTATACTCGTATATGTCCGAACAAAAAGAGTCATAGTCGCGCACACATTGAACAACTCAGCAGCCATAGTTCCTACCTACCATCAGAGAATCCCCCTCCATAGCAACTGTGAGTATGAGCTCTTCGTACCTGGTCCTCGGTATCTGGAACAAGATTCCCCCGGCTTGGCGGCTGTTGGAATTCATGAATTAGTTCATGCACGACATCGACACAGGAACTCCAAGTCACGTGCCAACTCCGTACCGAAAACAGCCAAGTGCTCCGTCGAGATGGATACCGCGAACCGCACTCTCATGGAATCGCACTTGTTGTCTATGTACAAACATGATTTACGACGGCTCATGTTAGGGGTAATAGTGCACACAGCCACCAGTACGAGTTATGTAGTCACGTTACCGGCACTTGACGACAGAGCCTTACTTGGTATGGGAGACTCAGAGCTTGGCCATATGAGGCTTAGCCTGGATAGCAAAATAGCAAAAACACACAACCGCCTACACCAATCAAGTATAGTTCATGAAGCAGTATGTGACTCGAGCCTGAACCGCGTCTGGGTCTGAACGGTTCTTATGAATTTTGGAAGATGAAGCGTGAACCGTATCCGCGGGACCCGGTTACAGGCGACGCTGCTAGCATGATATCCACGAGGACGACCCAGAGGGAAAGGGGCTTTGGACGCGCATCACAGTATCGCGTCTTCACCAGTTTTCCATCGAGCACCTCCGGACCTTCACTGCAAGATGGGCCCGGTCGAAGTGATCAAGTGCGAGTGACACCTGCCCTCTCCCTGCAAACCGTAAGAATCCCGCAAATGACACCGCTACACCCGCCTGATCCTGCGCAAGAGCATTAAAACTGGTTCGATAAATCATACAGTCACGATGGCGCTGGCCCACAGCCCGCCTCAACCAAAACAGCAAACACGAGAGGAGGCAATCGCACGAAGCAACAATGCGGGAGGAGCGCAGCAAGGCTCCAGCCGTGAGGCGGCGATCGAAGCGAACGACAGATCCACCCCAGAAATGTGCTCGACGCCCGTAGACCGCTCGGACAAATCAGCCAACACCCAGCATTGCCAAAGAACGCACCAAGCCGCCGAAGAAGGTGGCATTTGCGTCGCCTGTCGCCCAGGTCCAAGAGATCACACCCCTGTGCGCGAGGAGGTCGGCACGATTGAAGGAAAGAGCGCATCCACCGTCCAAGGCAGCACCGTCCGCTTCGAGGTTGACGGTTGAGTACAGTGCTCCGAGCCGGGCGGAGGACCGGGACAAACCAGGTGGCCAGATAAATCGAGACGAAAATGCCAATGATACCGCGAAGGGGCCTAGGCTAGGAACGCGGCTGCGGTCGACAGATGCAAAATCCGGTAGAACACCCACCCTGCCAGCTAGACCGGTGGTATGAAGGTGCAGGCCATGATAGGCAGTCCCAGAGGACATGAAGCGGGGGCGCTCGTTGAGGAGCACAATTCGCCCGTGAGGTTGGGTCGACGGGCGGGCTTGGAACTCGGATCAGAGGCGTGGTGTCCCTTTTGTGGCGATGCCTTTTGTAGCCCCAATCGAACGGTCGGTTGAGGGAAGAAATATCGAAGCCTGGTCCGAAATGAGACTGTGGAACACTAAACTGACAATTCATCCTTCCTATCAAGTGAGTGAGTTCAACGTTACTTACGCCGAAGGCTCGTGCGCCCGTCATTTCATATTGAGGATTGCTATCCTGGTTGTACTCTCTAGCGACATCTGCTCCCTCGTCAACCTGGAACGGAACCTGTTCATCATCCAGAAAATCGCGTTGCCTTCCGCGAGCACAGTCCAGCTTTCGAGCTGGGTTCGCGGTGCCTTGCCGCCGTATGTATCAGACGTAGGCCCTCCGTTCGCACTGTGGCAATTGCTTGTGCGTTTTGAAACAGCAGAACCTTCACTGCAAGGACAGGCGTGCCGTGCCGTGCTGCCCTTGATTCTTTGCTTCCGGTGCTGCTTGGAGTTGGTGACTGTGATTATCGTCCATTACAGTATACCGCAGTATACCTCAGTGTTCAAAAACACTACTCTTCCCTGAAGATGTTTCATGATCAGACGCATCCTCCTCCTGAGAGGAGGGAGTAAATTGGGAAGAGGACTCTTCTCGATTGGTACGCTCGGCTGGTGGTTCTGCCGCTTGATCGTCGGCTACGCCGTCGTCCTCGGGCCCAATATCTTGTTTCACATCATGCAGTTTACACGACCGCTGGAAAACATCGTCACACACCGTACTTGAGCTGTCGATCCCAAGTCGATCCCCTCTCGAACCGCGCTGTACCACTTACCGTTCATCTCTTCAACCGCCTGCCCCGAGAGAACGGACATTAGCCGACCTTCCGCATCCCTCGCCTTCAACTGAGAATGTGTTTGAGCCCTCGTGATTGCATTGAGTCTGTGTCGGCAAACCTGAGCAGCATGCGGTGGGAAATGCCTGCCTCGAAAGACCAACAGCTACAATGCTCCGAGAACAGGTAGATCTCCATCACTCCAGCTTTGTTGCCAGGTCTCATTACGAGAGCCTTCCATAGGCCACCCTCACAGTCGCGCGAGTCATCTGTACGCCGCGCCATTAAGATGACAATCCGGCTGCTGACCAGTAATTAAGCATGAAGAGTACCACGATGACAGTAGGAGAGCGAAACTTTAAGAAAGATGGGACAAGCGGCAGATACGTCTGGACAGCATACAGTAGGTAGCGGCTCAAATGACACGGATAGGATGTAGAGGGAAGAGCTAGCCAGTAATCAGAATACTGGATACATCTAAGGGTTGAATGAATTTCCAGATACTGAGAAGCGGTTTCTCTTCGTGACCGTATTCGCATTACGCATTTTGACATGGTCACTATAGCGGCACGAGGCTGTGCCACAGCCTTGTCTTCGGTCCCCTCGCTTCATTTTCCATGTCGCCGCAGTTTCAATCTACGTGCGATCTCTCCCTCCGTTCCAAGCATCCCATCGTCAAACCCTCCGCGCCCATACCTCCATCTGCGCAACGGGCACCGTTCTTCTCCAGTGCCCACGTTTTGCTTACCCTTATTGGACCACTCAACCTCCGCCAGCGTCGTCGCCATTACGACAAACATGGCGCAGTCCAAAAAGGTGCCCACGGCCGCGACGGCCACCGACCCGACCCGCAACGAATACATCCCGTCCTTCATCTCCAAGCGACCGTTCTGGGCCGAGACCACGCACTCCAGCGACACCGACTACCTCGAGCATCAGCGGCTCCAGTCGGCGCCCAAGGACACGCTCGACCAGGCGAAATGGTACGAGCGGGGCAAAAAGGCCGGCCCGGCGGCGACCAAGTTCCGCAAAGGCGCGTGCGAGAACTGCGGCGCCATGACGCACAAGACCAAGGACTGCCTGAGCCGGCCGCGGAAACTGGGCGCCCGCTGGACGGGGCAGGACATCCAGGCGGACGAGGTGATCGAGGACGTGCAGCTGGGGTGGGACGCCAAGCGCGACCGCTGGAATGGGTACGACGCCCGCGAATACAGCGCCGTCGTGCAAGAATACGAAGAACTCCAGGCGCTCAAGAAGGCGACGAGTGGCCGCAACGACGCCGACGACGACGCCCGCATCGCCGAGGAGACCGACATGGGCCGCTCCCAGCCCACGTCGACCCGCCAGCTACGCCTGCGCGAGGACACGGCCGTGTACCTGCGCAACCTGGACCTGGACAGCGCCCGCTACGATCCCAAGACCCGGTCGATGGATAAATCCGAAATGCCCGCGCGGGCCGAGGACGTGGACGTGTCCGAGGGGTTCCGCCGCCCGGACGCCGACGCCGACGACGCCGCCGCCTTCGAGGCCGCGCAGCGGTACGCCTGGGAGACGCAAGATCGGGACTCGGCCAGCGCGCAGAAGCTGCACGTCCAGGCGAACCCGACGCAGGGCGAGATCCTGCGCAAGAAACAGACGCAGGAAGCGGCCGCGAAGAAGGAAGCCACCAGGAAGGCTCTGCTCGAGCGGTACGGCGACGCGGCGCAGCCCGCGGCCAAGAAGCTCAAGTCCGGCGTCGTCGCGAACGAGCGGTACGTCGAATACGATGAGCAGGGCCAGATCAAGGGCGCCCAGCGCACCGTCGCCCGGAGCAAATATCGGGAGGACGTATTGACGAACAATCACACCTCGGTCTGGGGCAGCTGGTGGCGAGACTTCGCCTGGGGATACGCGTGCTGCCATTCTACGGTGCGCAATAGCTACTGTACGGGCGAGGAAGGGCGACGGGCTTGGGAGGAGAGTGAGGGCCTGAGGACAGGGCAGTCTTTGCTTGCGATAGGCGATGGTAAGACCAAAGAGGATGTCGGAGTGGAAGTGGCCGAGCAGGACACGGGCACGGGCACGACGGTGGCGGTGACGCCAGAGGTAGAGCAGAGGTTGAAATTACAGCAGGATGGAGAAGATGTTAGCGAGCGGAAGGAGACCGAAGAAGTGGATACGACGAGCTTGGGGCACACGAAGCCTCGAACGCATGCGAAGAAGCGGACGCTTCAAGAGCTGCAATCGGGCATATCAGAGGAGGAGCTCGAGTCGTATCAGAGGAATCGTCTGGCGGCCGAAGATCCCATGGCCGGCATGCTGGGCAAAGACGAACTCATCAGGTGAAGTGATCATGGGAAAAGCATTCTTGATTTCGTCGAGCGTTCAAGCGAGTCGGCTACGCGTAGCATCACTGAGCAGCGTAATGGGAGTGGCCGCGGCCTCTTGGGTAGGATATCAACACGTAGACTCGTGCCATTATGAATATCACCTTTCAGCTACTCATCGCGCCTCCGAATACTCGTCGAGAACCGCCTTCACGCCCTCACGCCCTCACGCCCTCATTGCCGCCGGTATGCCCCAAATCCAGACACAGAGCTTGGCACAGCAGCCGTCACATTTACTCTCGTCGTCCTCCTCTTCTTCCATAGCAGGGCCAATTGCACTGGCACTCCTGTGCGCGCTCGTTGCATCCGTCCTGCGCAAAGCCGCCAATGTGGCCGGTAGCTCAGCTGGTTCATATTCCGTCTTTTCCATTCTGGCCAAAGGAAGGTCCTCGATGTCTCTCTCCCCAATGCCGTGACCGCTGAAACGTGGGCCGAACGCCCCTCGGACATAGGTTCCATCATCAGCCCGAGCCAGCGGTCCAGGGACATTGGCCATGTATACCCAGGGAGGAAGGACAATCTTGATTGCAGAGGATGGTGCTTGCTCTAGGGCAGAGGTGTGGGGAATTGTCAACAATGCGCGTTCGACAGTGTCTGGGTCGAGCACGCGAGACATGCCAATCGCCGCCAATGTTCGTCTGAGGAGATCTCTCTGCTCGGGCTGGACCTCGTGCGGCCTCTGCGGCAGTGACTGTGTTGAGTAGACTGGTGAGACCCTATCTGGAGCCGTCGATTGGGCGTTCCCACTTGTCACATCTTGCTCACAGCTCTCGTCGTGCGAGTGCAACCACTGGCGGAGTGTCAAGGAGGTTCTGCTGAGCAACCGTCGTTCCAAGCGGAGTAAGGTCGCTTCCCAGCTTCCAAACGGAGGCAGTCCAGGTGGCGTTGGTTTCCTGACGGGTGGTGGATGGGCTGGTCCAAGTGGCCGCGCAGGGATCCAGTTGCTGTCCAAGCTGGACTCAGAATAGATGTGGTAATGAGTATCGACTCCAGGCATGTCGTTCTTCCTGATGATGAGGTCGAGGTCATTCAGCGAACGCGAAAGACGACGGGAGGTTTTCGGGTCATGGATGGACATGATGACCACGTCTGGCTAAGACGAAGCCGAGAAACCGTCGAAAGAATGGGTATAAGAAGCGACTGACTCGTCCATCGTGGCGATGGTATGGATATAAGTTCAGCACTGGCATCTACTAAGGAATGTGATCTTGTCTGTCGAGCCAGTATGGGATATGTGATGAAGTTTGAGTCCAGTCAAGAATCAGACGGGAGAAAGATGGCGACAAGGAGCATGAGAAAGGAAGGCGCATGACGACGGAAAGCGACATGCCGAAGAGAAGCGCTGTATCGAGGGAAAGCGCCATGGCATATCACGAGCAACAAGAGGCAGCAGCACCCGTAGCTCCAAGCTGGTTCCTTAGAAGCAAATGCCGATATTTCAAAGCTGTTGCCCAGGGCAAAGCGACGATTGCGCTGCAGACTGCTGTGGCAAGCCTGCATTCTTGACAAAATCAGTGTCCAACTGCATAAAAAGTGTTTCCAGAATATACTTCCTCCAATGCCCGTCCGTCCTCGATGCTGCGACGCCGACGAGTTCCGATCAGGAATGTAGTGTACAGATTAGCATTACAGAACGCCTGCGGGTCTTCCCATTTTACCCTTATTTTGCTGGTCGTCAAGTCGTATCGTTCGTGGAAGGAATCAAGTAGCCACGGCTGGCTCCCGGGGTGTGGCCGGCGTTGGCTTTGAAGCTGTCGACAGCTGTTGTTGGTTCTTCTTCAAGCTCTTGATGATGCCCTCAAGACGACGTCGTTCTTCTTGCTCGGCCTAGCAGACATGTCAGAAACCTTCCCCCACCCCCAAAGATATGAACCCTTACCTTGAGTACTTTCAGATTCTCGGCCCGGGTCTCGCGCATCATCTTTCGGAATTCATTCCTCAAGACCATTGCAGAGGTCGTGTCCGTGGGCGCTGAGACACTCGAGCCAAGCGACTTGACCTTTTCTTCGTTGAGCTGGTTCTCCAGATCTTCACACCTCCGCTGGATCGCGTCGACGTTCTCTTCCAGCCGCTCTCGTTCTTTCTCGTCCTCAATGCTCTGCTTGGTCATGGCTTCATACTCCCCGATCATCTCCTTGAGCTCGGTCTGGAGAGCAGTGACTTTGTTCTGCAGCTGCACAATGTCCATGTCCTTCGCCTCGTGTTCTTTTCTGAGCAGGCCAAGTTGACTCTCAAGCTCACTGTTCCGTGCGTTGAGGGCGTCGAGCTCCTTCTGGACAGCAGGGTTCATGGATACGTCCGCTGCTCGTTGAGCGCGTGTGCCATACGCCCCATCCAACTCAGCCTTGACCATGGTCAGTTCGGTTTGTGCTCGCACGACTTCCGACTCCAGTTCTGTCATCTCTTGACGCAGCTTCGAGACTTCAGACTCAGCCGCTGACTTCGCAGTGTTGACATCGTCGATCTGCTTCTGCAGTGCCGCAGTAGTCTCCGCATGCTCTTCTCGATCTTTTGCGTGGCTTGCTGCGAGATTGATTGCTTCCCTTTCCTTTTCCACGAGATCTGCGTTGAGCCGCTGTAGTTGCGATTCCAGTCCGTCGTGGTTGTCCTCCAATCCACGCCCAGCGCCCTGGCCTTGTCCGGCAGCTCGTTCTTGTTCCAGAACAGCAATTCTTTGTCGGGCTTGGTGAAGTTGTTCCGAGAGCAGCTCGCGATGGGCATCAGATTCTTCATTTTGCAGGTGGTCAAGCTGTTGGGAGACTTTGCTCCCTTCGGCCTCCTCCATCAAGTGAGAGATTGTGGCATCTCGGTGGACTTCCGACCTGTTGTTGAGTTCTCGCTGCTGTTGAATCTGGCGTGTAAGGATGGCTTTCTGTTCCACGAGGGTCTCAATACGCCGGGTCAGACGCTCTACGACGGAGGCCGAGAAAGCCAACTGAGAGTGCAGATCCTTTCCCCTGGGCTCGTCCTGCGGGACTGGGCTATGCGCGACGGAATTGGTCCGTTGCAGTATCTCATGGAGTCGTATGTTGACATCCTCAAGCTGCTCTTCTGTGTCGTATATTGACTGTTGCATGGCCCCACTGGATCGAGCTTGAGCAGCTTCCATCGCGTCGAGGCCTTGCGACATATAGCCCAGATATGCTTGGATTTGTTCATCGACACGGCCGACCAGATGGTCTTCGGTGGGTTGTGGAGGAGGGTCGAAGTGTTCCTGCAGGTTGACCTGGGTGATCATCAGGTGTACGCGCTGGTTCAATTGTAGTAGACGATTCGCAACACCGTCGGCAGCCCGAGGATCGATACTTCCAGCATGGCCTTTGTTCGGGATGTGACCAAACTCCGTCACATAGTCCGGAACTTGATACAGACTGCGCTCGTCAAAATCCACCGAGCCACGTCCGTGGTGACTGGTCATGCTCTCCGGGCTTCGAGGCAGTTCATTCCGTCGAATGTTCTTCTTCAAACCCCTGTGCGTCATTTGCAGAATGCCGGCCGTGTGCATCAAAATGCGTCTCTCTGTGTGCTCGAGCCGCTTTTCCAACTGAAACAGTTCGCGCGACAAATCCTCCACCTTTTTCATGCTCGCCGCATATTCGCCATCCGCACGGTGAACCGCATCGTTCTCGCTGCGTTTGCTCCCCAGCAAACTTCGACGTGACTTCTTGGGCGATCCCGGCCCGTCCGGAGATTCTCGCGTCGAGTAGAGGCGGTTGAGAGACTGTGCGGCATCGCGGACTTTGCTTTCCAACGCCAACCTTCTTCTCGTAGATTCGACCTTGGCCTTCAGATAGGTCCTCTCTTTTTTCAGTTGTTCCACCTCGTCAAACGACAGGACCTCGAAGTCTCGGCTGTCACTGATTGCTGTTTCTGCCAACAGGTGCATCGCGACGGGATCGTTGATATTGAGAAGGGTCGAGTTTCGTGGAGCATTTTGGATCTGCTAGTGAGGCGTTAGCACGCGTTGTCCGCCATGGACAGGACAACCTGACATACCTGTACCGGTGGGAGACGGGGCGTTGATTCCTCCTCGAATGGGCCTCGCAATGCCCCCGACATGAAGCTGGGCACGTGGCCAGTCGCCGGCGAGTGTTCGGCTGGTCCACTGGCGCTGTAGATGGAGCTGGGAACGTAACGGCTGCGGATGTTGTCGGCGCTCTCGCCGGAGGATTGTCTCAATTCATTTCTGAAAGACTGCATGGTCGGTTGGGGCGTTCAGCCCTGGGCTCAGAGACCCTCCTCGCCCGCGTATCCAATGCGTGCCAAAGTGCGAAGGCTAGGAAGAGGCGGTGGCTGTGGCGGAATCGCGGCGACCAGATATGGTCATGTTGTGTATAACTATATAACAATGTTTGATGTAGAATTACGCGCAGGAACAGAAAGGACAACGCCGAAGGAAGCTGAACGGACGTGGCAAGTCGCGGTACAGGATTGTGGTACTGTAGCAGGCAGGATCATTAATCGGTATTAGACCATCCACAGTAAGAGTCAGGAGAAGCAGGGGAGATGCGGTACGAGTACGGTGGAAAGGGGAGCTGAACTTGGGCGCGCCGGCGCGCCGGTTGCATGGCCTCCTTGTTCTCGAAGCTCATTTGGGACTGGTGGAGCGGGGAATGGGGCATGACCACCTAACGATCCAGTCGCTAGGCGTGGTGTTGGGGCGATCAGGCCCTGAAAGCTGCACGCCCAGTGGCCTCCGGCAGCCCGCAGCCAGGCAGCCCGGCCACGCGAGACACGTACTCAGTACTGGGTACGGAGTACTTTTCGCAATATACCCGGTAGTACCTAGTAGCCTGGAAATTCGCCTAACTGGGGCCTGTCCGCCCACGCGGTCGTTCATTTTAGGGCCAGCGGGCCAAATGCGTACAGTACGAGTACCAGGTACCTGAGGTGCGAGTAGGTATCTACCATAAGTCCTATTATTGCGATCACACTTCTCGTACTGGTACACAGTGGATCGACAGCCGACGAGCAGTCCCCGTGCCCTGGGGTGTTGGGAATCCGCGTCTCAGTTTGCATTGAGCCAGCTTTCTGTCCATCGTGAGAGTGAAGCGACAGGCTATTTACGGTATGTACCTCGTAGAATGTCACGATCTTCCTCGCCGGTCGTCGACATCTTGTCAAGCATTCGGTGGCGCCATCGGGGACGACCCTGTACTGCAAACAAGGACTTGATTAACGCACTTGGCGCCTCCATTCGCCAATCTAATCACCGTTGCCTCATTCATTTCAGAACAGAAGTTCGTCGTCGAGCGGGCACGCAGACTATTATGTACATCTCGTGTTGACCAGCCGTAGGTGAAAGCGAAATCCGCCATCTGCAGAATCACAACCTGCCCTTCCACCTTTCCGTGAGACGTGCATCGCGCCGACTCATATGCTGCCCATGCCTGTCCTTGTCGCCTTGATCTCCTTGGCGGCTTCGAGGATCTGCGTCCCGTAAATAAGGCCGTCGATTCTAATCTTGTTTCGCCCAGGGTTTCATCACGTAAGCAGGTGGACGTTACTGATGTTACTTCGCTATCTGCAACACCCATACCACGCAACCGTGACCTGGACTGACCACAGCGTGGCCTCACTTGTGTTCTGGCCGACGACAGAGAGACATGTCGCCTGGGCCGACATACTCCAGCTGCTCACCGTCAAACTCACGCGCGTAATTCCAAGACCCCGCTGCTTACCACACCTCATCGATCTCGCCGGTGCTCCTCTTGCGGGAAGACGGCGCGTGACGCTGTGACGGTCGCGCTCTTCAGAAGCTCGACGCTTTCGAGGTCAGGCCACAGCAAGTCCTATCATGGGCCAGCCTGACCAGACAACGACAGTCAAGGGAGGAGTCGTCCGCCAGGCTGGCAGCTCTTCTATTGACTCGTCCTCCCCACTGGCCGAAGACGTGGGCAATGGCCGACCTTCAGGTCTTCCTCCTACAATATCACGAATCTCGACCTCCTCTGCCGTCGAGTACAAGGTATACAAGCGACGCTTCTTCGGACTCGCCCAGCTCTGTCTGCTCAACATAGTCGTGTCCTGGGACTGGATCGCTTTCGCCCCCGTCTCGACCACTACCGCCGAGTACTTCGACACCTCGGAGACCAGCGTCAATTGGGTCTCCACGGCGTTCCTCTTCGCCTTCTGCGTAACCACCCCAGCGACCTTCTACGTGCTTCACAAGTATGGCACCAAAGCCGCCATCGTGATCGCTGCCTCACTGCTGCTGGTCGGCAACTGGGTCAAGTACGGCGCCACCCGCGCAAACAACTTCGCGGGCGTGATGGTCGGCCAACTGATCATCGGGTTCGCTCAACCCTTTGTACTCTCCTCCCCAACCTCCTATTCGAACCTGTGGTTCAGCGCCGCCGGCCGTACCACCGCGACCGCCGTAGCTAGCCTGTCCAATCCCTTTGGCGCAGCGCTGGGTCAACTCATCTCACCCTTCTGGGCGGACAAGCCATCCGAGATCCCCAATATGATCCTGTACATCAGCATCATCTCCTCCGTCGCCGCAATCCCTGCCTTCTTCATCCCCGCGAAACCGCCCTCCCCTCCATCCGCCGGCGTCGTGGCAGACTACATGGATCGCACGACGATCCGCAACGACCTACAGATCCTGTCTCGCTCTCCAGAGTTCTACCTCCTGGCCCTGCCGTTCATGCTGTACGTTGGCTTCTTCAACGCATTTTCGTCGCTCCTGAATCAGATCCTCGAGCCGTACGGCTTCAGCGAGGACAACGCCGGCATCGCAGGCGCGGTGCTCATCGTGGTGGGGCTCGTCTGCGCTGCCGTCTCCAGCCCCTTCATCGACAAGTACAAATTCTACCTGGTGTACATCAAGGCCGCGGTGCCGTTGTTGGCGCTTGCGTATTTGGTCTTCGTCTGGGCGCCGCAGTCGAAAAGTCTGGCGTACGTGTTCGTCATCTGTGCGATCCTCGGGGCCGCCAGCTTCGGTCTAGTCCCTGTGGTGTTGGAGTTCATGGTCGAGATCCACCACCCGCTCGGTCCAGAACTGGGAAGCAGCCTGTGTTGGTGCGGTGGACAGCTGCTCGGCGGTATTTTCATCGTCATCATGGACGCGTTGAAGGACGGCGCCGGTGCCGACCCGCCGAAGAACATGAAGCGGGCGCTGATCTTTCAAGCCGCGCTGGCCATGCTGGTCATGCCGAGCCCGTTGTGTCTGGGCCTCTTTGGGCGCAAGGCTCATGTGAGGAGGAAGAGGTGGGAAGCAGATAGGAATGCCAGAACAGAGGAGGTCATGGAGGGATATACCGACGGGAGAGAGGAAGATGAGCAGGTTTTGAACAGCCACAACGGTAGAGTCGTCTGAACGAACTAAGTGCGTGGACCAGAGAGCTACGGTACCCAACGCAGGGACGGTACGCACATAGGTGCTATGGAATATGCAATGGCACCCAGTACACCGTCAGCCAGGCAGGAGGGCGCGCAATGAAACCGTTTAAATTATGCAGAACGCTCCAATTCCTACCGGGCAGTTTGGACCTTTCGACCTTTAACCCCCATGCGCGTTTTCTTTCACCACAGCAAGAAAATTGGTAGTCCCTGACTGACTTTACACGCGGGAGGAAAACGTTACAACGTGTCGATAGGACGGAGGAGGCCAAGGCCTTTGCAGGAAAGGGTAGGCGAACGCCGAATCTCCCAGGATACGAGGTACTGTATCTACTCCACCGCCATCACGTAGTTCTTCTCTCTCTCTCGCGTGCGTGCGCGGGTGCTTGCGTGCGCGGGTGCTTGCGTGCGCGGGTGCGTGCGTGCCTCGTCATGCCGGTCTGCGACTGGGACACTTGGACAGCGTTCCTCCGGCGGGTGGGCAACCTACATAGCTGCTGTGTCCGTTCCACGAAGCAGCAACGGTAATCACGTCTCCCAGATTGCGCATGGTCTCGCGATGGCAGGTCCGACTCTTTTGTGACATACAGAGCAGGTTCCTCTCATCTGGATATCTGGATACTGCGGAAGAATGGGACGTCCTGCAACGGAGAATGGAACAGTACTTCACCTGCCTACCTCGATGGAGGTGATATATTCTGGCATCGTTGCGGAGTGCTTCACCTGCTACTGCCATGGAGGTAATACATCCTTTGGCACCATTGCGGAGTACGGCATACGTACTGTGTAGAGTCATGAACGATACTCATATGGACGCGAAAGGCCAAATTCCCTTCTGCGAGCGTGAGGCAGCCGTCAGCCTCTCAACCACTTTTCAAGGAAAACAACCGCAAAGGTGAACGGCGGGATTTGAACGAGCGTCTCGGGAAATGAAAAGCACACGAGGCGTAAAAGGCAGCTCAAAAAAAAAAAAAAAAACAGAGAACGAGCCGCCAGATCTTGAAACTCTCTTCTGAAACTCTCTCGATGCAATGAGGTGTAGACTGTACAAAGGCGTGATTGTATGTATGTAATGCGGCTTGACGCAACCAGCTCTTCCCACCACTTCCGCCAACCCTCTGTCCACCGACTTTTGAGTCTCCTTCAATGCCTCAGATGTCCATGGCCGTAGACCCTGCGTGTGTGAAGTGTCCGTATTCTGGCTGTGGACCTCTCTGTTTGACCTGCTGTGCTTGCTTGCGACGGGGAAAGGCCCGGTTCAGCCAGGAGGGAGGGAGGAGGCGTGGTCTGCGAAGAGGCCCTCTATTTCAGCTGCTTGAACAGCTTGGGCGCCGCACATTGGGTTGCACAATGTTGGAGGTGGAAAACTGTAGTGAGCACGAATGAACCTATTAGCTTTTGCATTCTCCACCGCAATCAACAGGCACAACTGGTCCATGCATGTTGGCCATGCGTGCCATGAGGGAGGAAAGGACTCCGATGAGGTATTCAGGTAGGCAGGCGGAAAAGAGCTGCCCACGGGCAGGACAGGACAGGACATGACATACATTCTTCGACGCAGTTTTCCTTGGGGCCTTTGTAGTCCGGGTCCTCCTCCTGCTTCGTGACGCGTTCGACGCACTCGTCGAAATGGTGCTTGTAGCCCTGGCATTGGGCGGACCGAGCGCACTCTGTTCAGTGATTAGCCATTGCTCATGTACTGTTCGTTCGCGGGAATTGCTTGTAGCAGGGGCTGCATTGCAAGTCTTGCTATGATATCGTCATTGCCACAGAGATGAGATGTAAAATGGCCACGTACCCTCTTCTAGCCGGGGCTTGGGGTCGACTGGCTCTTCCTCTTCCTCCTCCTCCTCTTCTTCTTCTTCCTCGTCGTCGTCGTCTCCTCCTTCTTTCTCTTCTCCTTCGTCAGCTTCGTCTGCGTCGCCTCCACCCTCTCCGTCATCTCCTTCGGCAGCACCCTCTCCGTCTTCCTCTTTCTTATCCTTGTCGTCGCCGCCTTCCTCTCCCGAGTCCTCCTTGTCGTCTGCCGGAGCTTCGGCCTGGACGTCTTGTACGAATGAGACGGAGCTCAGGAGGTCGGAGAAGAAGTCGGTGATCCCCATGTTGCAGAAGTCGGACGCGGCGGCGTCGCTGGCTGTAGGTGAGGGCAGATGTATGGGTTTTGGGAGAGCAGCGGCGGAACACGATTGTCAGACTCAATGCTGGCAGAGAGGAAACGGTTTGTACTGGTAATGCAAAAAGTCGAATGTTCATAGAGCTTGAAGCTTCGACGGAACATTATCTCGTCTGTGATTGGCCCGTCGACGAGCTGCTCAGTACCAATCAAACTCGCCCATTCTTCGAGTCGGTCTTATCCCCCTGTTGCTATCAGGGGCTTGCGGCAATGACGATGATCATGAAAGATATAAAATTCATGCGTATTGTGATACTGCTAAGACTCAGGTATCTGCCGGAGCCGATCTGGCGGCTGTGTCTCTATCTGTTTGACTACCCATGCTCAACCGGAACGCCCTGCCGCACGGGTAAAACGACCTGCGACGTTGCGCCTAATCCTGAGTCTGCGACAACCTCCGATCCAGTTCGGCCTGTATGCTCTGCTGCTGTGTCTCCTCGTACCCGGGCGGGGCATCGCTTGGTGGCTGGGCATCCTGAACGGGCGACCCTCCTCTTCTCAGTTCTGGTGTCCTTGCCACAGGCGAGGCTACGGCACCGCCCGTCTCGTCAGCATTCTCCGGTGCGACCCGGTCTCGGCCGGATTCTTGGTAGGAGGGTAGCTGGTCGAGGTGGACATTGTCCAGATTGACGTGGCCCAGAAAGCTATCCTGCGTCTGTCCTGACAGGTTGTTTTCCCTCGCGGTTGACACGACTTGCTGCAGTCTCTCCTTGATTCGTTCGAGGGTCGAGTGAAAGTCCGGTGCGCCCCCCTCCTTGAATGTGAACTTGAGCTCGATTGCGGCTTGCGTGGCTGGGATGTTTCCACCCGGTACCGGTTGCAAGACGGCCTGCCACGCATTCGGCCCAAACCACGGTACAGTCATGTGGGTGTCGTGAAGATTGAGAAGCGGGGCCGAGAACGACTTTAGCTCCGTGGTCGGCTTTTCTGGAAGATACACAATCTGTTTGCCGTGTCAGTGGAGGTACGCAGCAGCACCTGGGCCATATGTCGTACTCTCTGATTGGTCAGATAGACCGTGCCCGAGCTGCAGTGTATAGCCAAGGGACTGTTGCCCGGGTATGTTGTTGGAGTGGTGATGGCAAGGCCGACCCTGGGGGTGGTCTTGTGGATGATTCTCTCTGCTGGCAGGAGTACAAAGGAACCCTTTCCATCGAGCATAACCCAGCTGAAGATGACATCATCAACTCGAGGTCCAGAATGGCAGTCGCTGTGCTACATACTTGATGGACATCTTGACAGTACCGACACTGGTGCCGATGATCGATCTCGGAGGCAAATGCTGGTAGAATCGCGGTCTCCTGATGTCGAGACGCTGGCCGCTTGAAGAGGTCTGCCTGCCTACCTAAATCCGAGCCAAGGGAAAGGCGACTGTAGACTGTCAAAAGGATCAATGCGAAGTCATGGTGTGCGGATCTATGGCTAGGCCGGAAAGGTGTCAGCTCCTCAAGCCATCAAAGAACATGTGAATGTCGAAGTAGATCATCGCGTAAGTCATACAATCGGGATTCTTCATTAACGCTTCGAAAGGGTCGTGTTTGACCGTCACATGCCGCCAAGCCGGAACCTGCGTCATGCCGCTTTACCGTGGCTTCCTTCCGTCTTCCCTCACTTTGCTCCTGCCACCGTAGCGCGAGGAGCCTTGTAACTTTCAACCCGACATTACGACAACAATCCAATGTCATCTGAGAATAATGATACTCGTGCGGCCCTGTAAGCAGTATTCCAGTTGCGCATCATCACTTCTTCAACCCGTGGACTTGGGCCAGAAGTTAGACTTACCCAGCACACTGATGGTTCTCCTATATAACCTCACGGATGGCCGCTTACGCTCTCTTGGACATGGGGTACCAGAAGGCAGAGCATCGCCGGGTTGCGGGTCTTCGATGCCAGGTGCAGGAGGTTCTCACCACGGGCATTGACGTATTTGACGTGGGCTTCGAGGCCTTCCTGCCCCAGCAAATACTCTACCACCTCAATATGGTTTGCCGAGACAGCCTGTGCGATCGATTGAGGGTCACGCAGCAATTCTGTCCGTAGCTCTGTCTTGTGTTGAGCTCTGTGCAGCAAATGCTGGACCAGGGGCATACAGCCAGCGCGAGCAGCTATGCAGAAAAGTTCGCTGCCCCATCGGTCCCGAACGATTGTGTCCAACATGTAGTCGACAAGTCCAAAAGCCACGTCCCAGTCATCATGGCGTTCACGGTTAACAGACCATTGCCTTATGATGAGGCTGAAAAATCCGAGATTCCGAAGCCGGTGACTGAATTTGTCTTCCAGGAAGAGTATCCTGAGCCCGGACAAGTCGCCCCACTGAAGAAGTTGGTCGGCAGCGTTGAAGGCTGGTGTTGGAAGAAACCTCTCTGCGTCGAAGTCCGAATGCTGGAGCATATCGCACAGCAGGGCCTTCGAACCGTAAAGCGAAGTAATGCTGGGAGGATCATACAATCGACTGTCAAACCCAAACCTGGAGAGGATAGCGCAACCTGGACGGCAGTTTTGGTTGATCCAATTGTCGAGTCGAGTCGAACTCGCTTCGCATAGGCGCTCGACCTTTGCCAGGCGTTCCAGATTCCCACCCTGGACGCCGCCAAAATGCTCGGTCCAATGGCTCGCTGCGTATACGAAGAACTGCCCGAAGCCTCGTTCGTTCGGATCGTACCGTATCATGTTCTCTCCCCAGACCTCCCACGTGCAATATGGATCATACTCGGATAGGTCGGTGTCCTCGAATAAGTCGAATTCCTGGGGCAGCTCATTGATTGCAACCTGCTGTTCAGAAAATAGATGAAAGCTGCCGATTTCATCTAACAGGAGGTAATTCATGCAGACATCCAAGGTGAACGCCTTTGGGGTCTCGAATTGCTGACTCTCATTCATCCGGTCAAGTCCTGTTGATGTCGTAGGCTCTGGCAGACGGGCCCAGTCTCGTGTTATGAAGTCCTTCACCGATTGGTGTACGAGTCGGACTTGACGCTTTCTGTCATACGCTATAGTCGATCCGAGTGATAAAGGGGTGAACAAGACTCATCACCCTCTCGTGGTCTACCAGCTGGGCCGGAGCGTTGACAGTGGTGACTTGATGTTGAGCTGTAGCCAACGCTACAGCCCAAGCGAGTTCTTGTACGCTGAGTGGCCTCCGCGCAGCAGCCAGGAGCATCAATGCGGTAGCGACAAGCTCCTTATTCTCGAAAACATCTGATGATTGTCGTGCGATCATGGGAGATAGAGCTTCGAAAGCTGCTCCGACAAGGGAAATTCCTCCAAGAAACGTCGCATCGGCCCCACGGCGCTTAGCTTGCGAACTTCGATGTGTTCAATTAGCATCTTCGTCCATATAGCGCTCCCTTGGCACAAGGGAGGTACCGCCTTTATCAGCAGTTCTCTGACATCTTCCGAGAGATGATCCAGCCGCGTCTCGACTGTGTGGCGGACAATCAGGGTATCCCTGTGCAGGTCGGAACTCAGATAAATCCCAGCCACTGCCCTGAGCTGCTTTGAAATCTCTTCTTCAGGCTGTGAAGAAAGTAGAATTTTGAGCCTCGGAGTTTTCTGTGATAACGTCGTCAGCAGTTTCAAAAGAGCCTTTCGCGATCCTCTATCGCACTCATCCAGACCGTCAATGACGACGAAGATTGGACGATCGAGAGTCTGCAGCAGCGTTTCCAGGAACTGCCCCAGCTTGCTTGTGTTCGTTTGTGGCTGAAGGACCCCAGAAGCCTGATTCTGCCTATGCCATTCATAGAACGTCTTCTTTAGACCAGGGAGCTGTTCAAGGAGCGCTAGGATCAGCGTAGAGAACATGGGGCCAGCCTGGCCAGACTGAGCGTCTCGGCAGTAGTAGTAGCATGTCTTGGGTGGTGGTATTTGGCACTCATTTCTTCGGCTCAGCTCGTCCACAAGAAATGCCATGGATACCGTTTTCCCAGAGCCCATGTCACCCAGGACCGCCAGCCACTGGGAGTCGGAAGCACCATACCAGTCGATGAAGGCAGGATGTTTGAGCAGGAATCGACAAGCATCGTCGTTGCGGAGTTCCTCCAATCTGGCATGGTATTGGCTTTGCAGAATCAGCTTGTCACTGCCCAGCCACCGAGCCACCGAGGTCGGGCAAGTGCGCATTCACCATATCAAAGAGTTCATACAAACGTACTTTCGGTGTCATAAAGCATGGCTTTGATATCCTCGACGACCTCCCACGTCGCTTTTCCTACAAGTTTCCACAGGGTATCAGCATGTCTCAGGAAATCTTGAACGATATCCGGCAGGCGGTCAGTCTTCAAGACCATTTTCATCACCAATTTCACACCTCTCCTGGTAAGAATCTCGTGTGCGACTCTGTAAAACTCTAGAATTGTCTGATACACCACACAAATGCCTGCAGGCGATCAGCGAAAAGTCATAAAACGCAGGGAGGACTGCATCATGTACCTTGTGTATGTCTGTCCTATCTGCCTCTGTCCAAGTGTATCGCAATCATCAATGTAGGACATATGTTCTAGCATTTCCCCGATCTGCTTCGCAAACTGCAGGTCGGCGGTTGCAAAGCTTATGGCAATCTGTGTTCAGAGGTCTCAGTCAAAGGACGTACTGATTCCTATGGCGATAATGCTCCATCGAAATAAAGCTTGAATCTCCGAAGTGGGACCTGTATTGAATGTAGGTATGCCACACCGCGAAGGAAAGCCGACTCGTGTGTTGCATCTTTGTCCGATATCTCCTCAAGTGCTTTGAGGAGCTGGGCAGCACTGCTGCCCGTGAGAATGGTGATGTCAAAGTCTTCTCCAAGATTATCGATTGCTTCACGATAGGCAGTGCTCCAAAGATCTGAGGAGCCATTTGTGCTAATACTGCTGTAACCATGATTTGTCCGATGAATAGATTTTTGTTCGGGATTGCTTGTGGATATGGTGCTCTGAGTGGTTTGCAAAGGACTCTGAGCTTCATTTTCTCCCCCGACAGTCGACCTCGTGGATACATCGTGTGTGGAATTGGACGGAAGCGAACCTCCACTATTTTGCTTGGTTAGCCAAAATCACTGGCAGAATTATGATACTCACTTGTTTACGACTTGTGAATCTCCATAGGGTCGTTGAGGCACTGGTGTGCTACTTAGTAGTATTGTCCGAAAGGCGTTGGAGCTTGTGGCGGAAGGTGTCCAGCCGCGTGCATAGATTGTGGCGAAAACTCTCGTCCTGTGTGGACGACGGTGATGCCATGCTCGCACTGAAATATCAGAGCAGGCCGTAACAGAGCAAGGACATGATAGAGGTCTCCCAGAGAGAGCACTCCGCATCGCACCAGATCTGAGTGAGGGTTCCGTCTCGGGCGCTTAGATGATGGGCCGGGCTTCATCTCGGGCGCTTAACTATGTACTAAGTATGTAATAGCTGCCAAATGACAGTGCTGCATGGTGTCTGCCAAGAATAATCGCAAGAGGAAGTTTCGCCAAGGCTAAAGTGCGCTACTATATATGTTTGTATAATGCCAGAACAACCGGTTGACTAGTCGATCCTAACCAGTCGCTGTCGGTACATTCTGAAGCCAGTTACTATGTACAGTATCAATCTTGTTCAAACCACTAGCAATATAGTTGTAACACCCTATCGCGACTAAATCAATAAAGTATCCAAGAAGTCTCTGAGAAGTTCAGCGATTTAAGGACAGTGAGAAGTGTCAGATACTTCTCAGACACTTTCTCAATACTGATTTAAACTCTATAGGATTGAGCAGTACTGTAGTACTGTACTAGGTACTAGTATCTGACCCAGGTCTGATCCAGGATCAGATCTCAATCCGAGGCTTAGTACTGTATGTTGATAGTAATGTATCATCGATCTGAGCCCGGTCTAATCCGCGATTGATCTAGGTTCGATCCCGGATCACAGCTACTTAGTATACTTTATGAATTTAAAAGTTTCGTCAAGTTTCGTCAAGTTTCGTCAATCATTTTTAGAGGTACAGTATTTTAAAGTCTTTTATAAAATTAGCTACTACAGTACGGAGAGGAGTTGCCACGCTAGTTACGGAATGACAGTATTTTAAAAGACAGGCCTATTTCTATTAGTTGTCCCTGGCAACCGCCCCTAATTATTTTACAGCTAGATAGCGAGCACTTATAGTGACCCCGAAAGACTTCTCTAGCTAGCTATAGCTCTAGGCGTACTTAAGGCACTGAGCCCCCTAAAGGATGGTGAGATGACAAGAAACTCCGCTTTCATTCTACCAGTAGATGCCATTTTAGTTAGCGTGGTAACGACTTTGTGTGCACGCCTCCGTACTTATATATCATAAAAAGTTAGTACTTGGTATTTACAGGAGTATATAAGTACTAAGTACTTATATAGTATATATTAATACTAGTAAAAATAATAAATCTAATACTTACTAGGGCTAGCTTAATTAGGTATAAGTATATTTTATATATTATAATCATTAGCACTAACCCAATTAGGCGAATTTTATACTATACTATAGATATAGTCCTATCTTATTCTACTAGTCAACTACAGACATGGTATATATGTACTTATATAGTCTAAGAGAACTATATAGTACTAGTAGTAAGTCCTTAGTAACGTTACATTACGGCTATAATAGTAAAAAGTCCCCACTAGGTACATTATATATGTCTAGTACTTAGTGCGGAGTACTATTACCTAGTATAATATACCGTACACTACTATACTAGTAAGCATATATAGATTAGTCTTCCTATATCCTAACTAATACCTATAGAAGAATGCCGTCCTATTCCCTCCTACAGTACTGGTTTGTATCAGCAAAGCGGGCGGCGACAGCAGCATCACCCCGGGCTCTACTAGCAGTCTCATCGAATCCATGAAGCCGATGCATTTGTCGTCCTAAACTTTGAAGCCTTTAGAGATAGAGAAAGCAGCCATCGGCGCATTGAGCAAGCGGCTGGCGATTGACCGCCTCGACGTTCTTGCTCGACAGCACCACAATAAGTACTTTACTATGTAGTACAGTAAAGTGCTTAACGTCTAAGACGTCGACTTGAGCAACGGCTCAGACTTAGGTAGGGGTCCGCCGCAATAATTATAGACAATGTCGGAAGAATGTACTACTTGTAGTATGCTTAGTCCTTAATGTTGATGAAAGGCGATAGTGCGACCAAGGGACAGAGGGTGAAGAAGACATGCAGGCCGAATCTCGAAATGCAGAGATGAGGGACAAAATCTGAGGGGCCGCAAGTGACGCTGTGGCAACAAGTTGTCAACTTCGTTCGACATGATGTATTCGCCCCATTGATGGCTGAGGATGACTGACTCGAACTTTCTCGTGCAGGGTGAGGTTGAAGCTTAGTCGTTCACATACACCCTTGGAAGCAGTAAATATATCAACCGCTCTGTGATTGGTTCCCAGTCGCCCGAACCACGCTCGTCGGATTTGAACCCTGCTCTGGCTCATAGAAGAAAATAGGATGTAAGCAGTATCTCCGCGATCGTGCCCAAGGCGAAAGTCACGCTAGTCTCTGTCCAAATAGTTGGCAAGTGCTGAGCACACCACGTGCGTTGTAATAGGCGCGCCAGGAAATTTGGCATATCACACTCGCCTCGTTGTACACTTTCTTCTGTCTTATTCTGGTGGTCTGAGGTGTGGTTGTCGCTGCTTTCCACGGTAGTACCTTGCCTTACATGACGAGATCGTGCATCGGTTGGGAGACAGCGATGTTTGACCGCATGGAGTCAGCACTGGCCGCGCTGAACCAGCTCGACCATGTGAGTTCCTCTTGAACTGTAGTATGCCGTCAATGGCGGTCGGCAGATCCCCCCCACAGCCGCGTGAATGAGCCAAGAGACTTCAAGGGAGAAGAACTTGAAGCGAAGTTGTTCCTATTGAATTTCAACTGCCAGTCAATAAGCTCAGTCGGGTCTCAGTCGGTGGGATCAAATTGTGCTAATGTTCGCTCACGCTTTCGGGCAGCATCTCCATACCCTTCGAGCCATGGATGGCCAGATGCGGGACCGATGGAAAAATCAGCCGCAAAATGTCCTGCAGGACCTTTGTGTTATTTCTGTCTTAAATCACCTCACGGGTAACTTCGAACAGGTCACTATGGAACAGAGAGTCCCCCGGAACAGCATTGTCGGTTTTGAGAAGCAGTTGATAATTATTCCATCTTGCTTTCTGGTCTACCCCGTCCTAGTGCTCCGACAGGAAGACGCCCCGGGTTTTGATACAGACTCATAAATGGGCTTTTGATGTAGGCAACACTGCTCTTCTGGCTGTTGGCCGCGTGGCGTCGTGCAAGGTAGTGCAGCAGTCGCCAAATCGGTTGGCCTCCTCCGAGGAGACGAGGACATCTGTCTGGCCAAGGACAGCTTCATGTCAGGCATGAAGCAGGAGTCAAACCAGTCCTCTTCGTCGAAGTGGTGCATGAGACCTCTACTGCTCTCTTCATCTTACTCAGATACACAGTTGTTCCTCAGGTCACCTTGCGTTCCTGATCCAGTAATAGATCGGCGTGGTCTGACTAATGTGACCAGCTGCGATGCTGGGTTTTCCTCGATGGGTTTCGTTCTGATTTGTAGCCTTTTGCTGTTAAAGCGGTGGGGACTTCGCCGTCATGCTCGTTCGATCGTTTTCGCTTCCGATCACAAGGCCGCAGGAGAGGAGCCTGAGCACGATGGAGGTCAGCTTCTGAGATGAGAAATGGGAGTGCGAGAGAACTTCTTGGTTCAGGCCACCAGGAGATGGAGACTTGTTAGGCATTCATTCATGCTCGAGGCTGTAGGGATTGGGCATTTCCTGTTTCTGACGTGGGTTTCGTGGATTTTTGAGGCTCGGTTCTTTCCAGCAGCTCAACGGCAAGTCTCCAAATACTTTAACAGTTAGTATTTAATAAAGTCAAGTATTGAGGAATTCTCTGAAGCACGCACCCGATACCAGAGGATGCTGGTCGTGATGGCATACTATGGCCTGCGGCTCTGCTGCGGACTAAACAAAAACAATATGCGTGTTCGCGAGGGTGCTGCGTTTGAAGAACGAGGGCATGGGCATGGGTCCTGAAGGATGCAGTACGAGTAGTACTTTGACCTTGTGTGTATGGCCTGCACTGTTCACAGCTGATCAGAGGGATGAAGACTGATCTGGTGCTTGATGTTGTGACACCTTCTTCACGTGTTCTCAGGTTCCAGCGGCGTCACGCTCCGTAAGTCGAGGCAAGGAACGAACGCATAGCGCTCATGTCCAGGGCAATTGCGCGGCACTTGGCGGGCACGAGTACCTCGTACTTGCGCGAGAGGGAGGTGATCAAGCATGCTTG